GGGCCAGCACCGCATGGCATAGCCAGCTGCAAGATCTCAATAATATTTTTAGCTGTGTGTAATGGGAGTACTACAAACCAATAATGTAAGGGGCATTTTTCTGCTGACCCTCAATGAACTAGTTTTAGCAGGAGTTCCAGGAGATCTAAAAATTATTAAAAAGGGTTCCTCTGGGATAAAACGGTTGAGAATAGCTTTTCTAGAGCGTCAACACAAAACAAGAATCCTGATGGCATTAGCTGTAATTGTTGTAAGAGAGCAGGTTTATGAAAGGCAGGTTCTTGTTCTATTTATATGTTCGGTTCAGTTAGCAATAGTCTGGGTTAAACTAGCAGAGCAGCAATAGCTTTCTGAAAAGCTGTGTCTGCAAGATCAAATAAGGCCTTTAAGAGGGCTAAAAAATTCCTGTCAACAGACTCTTTAAAAGAGTGAATATCCTCAGTAGGAACTGTAAGGAGTTTGAGGACCGAAATGGCAGAATACACTACCAGAATTGCTCATTTCTTCTTAAAATCCTTTTCCATGGGATAAATCTCTGCTAAATGCTTACGAGGAGTAAGTACCCTCTTAGGGTTGAGCCAATCCTCATAAAATGCAAGTAGCAAGACAGCAGGATGCTAGATTAGTATGTGCTAAAAACCAACAATGCTTTAATGTAGCTCACTAACATGTATAAAAAGCTGTAAACTGCTCCAGTGGTAGGGACGGCATGCACAATTGACAGCCCTCAGATGGTGAAGCTGGCTGCGGTTGCAAGGCTATAGGAAGACTGACTAATCATTGAAGCAAGTCGGCATCTGTCCCCACTCATTCCCGACGGCTGACAGGGAGAAGAGACTGGTCTGTACGCGGCAGGTGGGCAGGCTGCAATGCGTTTGCTAGGCCAACCTCCTTTGTCAAGAAACCCCATCCCTCAGGCGGAGGGATATTTAAGAACTGTCAAGCAACCGGCAGAAGCCAATCAAGGATGACATGGGAGGAGCCGGACTGTGGAAGGGAACATCAGAGATGAGAAACAAAAAAGGGACACAATATCAGGCAATGTATGAGGGGGAAACAAATATAAATATTTATGTATACATTGAGAATCCAAATAAAGATAACCGTGCAGCTGGAAAGTCAGGTTCACCTCACAAACAGATGTAAAATGTATTATTAACAGCCAAGGAATATATAATATACACTGATCATAAGCAAGGACAACGACCTGAGCAGTAATAAAGGAACAAACAATACGTTAAAGCATTGTTGGTTTTTAACACATACTAATCTGGCGCCTTGATGTCTTTCTACTTCATATGTTTGCAAGAATTTCCCTAACTTTGGGTGAGGAGCTGCCGGACCTTGTGTGTGAGCCATAGAAGTATCCCTATTGCTGATCCACGTATCTACGGACTTTTACAAAGGCCATATTCCATCACCATTCTGAGTGCTGAATATGCATGTATGATCTACAAGGTGTTGTCCTCATAAAATGCAAATCATCTGTGCATGTATGAGGAAAAGTCTTTTTTGACTTAGCCAGATTCTTAGTGCTTATAGGAACTTGTTTAAGCTGTGGAGAGAATCAGAATTATGGGTGCCGAGAATCAGGTTGGAGTAGTTTCAGGACTGTATCCAGCAGTGATGGAGGCACACCAGAAGAGAACCGAGGATGGAAGTCTACAGGATGTTCTCAGTTCCTATGGAATATTAAACCAGATAGAAAGAAGCAACTCTTGAGCTCAGTTTATTTGCATTAAGCCAAAACTTTGGGAACCTCAGCATATTTACAATACAGACATCCATCTGTGTGCTGGTAAATGTGCACGACCATTAGCTGGATGAGTATGTGCTTGAGCATTAGCTGTAAGAGTATTAGTTTCCCGACACCTCCACAGCTATTATTACAATATTGGGGTCTTCAATACTTTCTTACATAATTTCACAAGAGGGTGTGTAGTGTTTTTGGCCTCTAGAAACAAAAGGTTCTATAAGTGCTGAAAGTTTTTCAAAGAAAAGTGGCAGAGAAATCTGCTTTAATCAGGTTGCATTTTGTGTGCTTGAGAGGGAGCCAGAGTCAGATAATGGGAACAGTATCATATGGGATATTGCTCCAGGACAAGGGAACAGCTATCACCATGAGCATTAGTTAGAGCTACCTGTAGGCCATCTACAAAACACATGCTATTTGGCCCTATTGTCCCAATTCCCTTGTGTCTGTGATCCACGTTTGCTAAGTGAGCGGATCGTCAGTCATGGTTATATTGTGCAAAACAAATGAGGTTGTATATGTCCAGATATAGAAGTCGCTATAATCCAAGCACTGAATTTTTTCCTGTGACTCTGTCTATGCAGAAAATAATGCACTGTGTGAGTTTTCATGGGGAAAAAAGCAAGCAGGGAGATGTCGGCCAAGAGGCTGGGATCACTTATCCCATCCTCTTGAGACTAAGCCTAGATAGGAGGAGAAAAAACACCAAATTCAAATTGCTCATGAAGAGAAACTATAGGTGAAATGGCAGAGGTTACCACAAAGTGAATAACACCCAAACACCCTTGGGGCAGCCCTAGTAAGTTTTTACCTGCAAATTACAGTAGCTGCATATAACCCAGGGTCTAAAAATACAAGTCCGGTGTCCTGTACTGTATGGTTAAGATAAGTATTTATTACCAGCCACTTTACTTTTATGTGAATATAGCTAGTTTAGACCCAGAACACAGACATTTTTTAATCTAATAAATGTGAGTCTGAAGAGCACCAGGTTCAGCAGCAATGTACAAAGCATTAAGGGCCAGTTCACACTATGACCCAAGCTGAATTGCACTGGAACGAGCTTTGCATTCCTGTGCAATTCATCTGCAGCTCTGTGTGGTGCGATTTCAAGCCCATTCATTTGAATGGGCTAAAATCGCACACCACCAAAAGTAGTGCATGCACTACTTTTTGAAACGCACAGCACCCGTATCACATGGTACTTTCTACCATTCGATTTGTTGTGGGCCAGTGCGGGCAAATGCAATGCGTTTGCAAAAGTGCGTTTGGGGTGTCGTTAACTTTAAGCGGACACCCGCAGCAGAATGCAAGGCATTGAGAATGGAATGTGGTGTGGGAATCCACACATGACTCCAGCTCTCCCACACCACATTCTAGTGTGAATGAGCTCTAAAAGTGTCAGTACTGTCTAGGTATCAGAATAGCAGTGATACTAAAGCGTACTACAGCTTAAGGTGCCTGTTCCTATCTTGACACTGTCACCTGTCTCCTAATCTGTCACTGGAGCCTCCCAAAAAGTCCTATGCAAATAACAACTCTATGAAAATTGATACTTGCATAGAACTAGGCACACCTACACATACTACTAATGTCATCACCGTGACAGCGCTTTACCTTGGCTCAGGCTCTATGTTTTGCACTGTGGCAGATGTGAAAGGGGTGGGTTCAGGTTTTACACAGGAGTGCACAGGTGGATTGGGGAAGGAGGGGTGGGGTCAGGCTTCGTTGTCAAAACCCCTGTTGTACAGTATCACTGTTACTTACCTAGGTATTGAAAGATAACAGGTTTCTATTAAAAAAACATTAAGCAGCTTTCTCAAAGCCTACAAAACACCCTCAGTTTTAGCAAGGATTGCTGAATGGAGATCTTACTGGAAGTGCTTTAACACCGCTAAGGCTTGCTAAATGCTTGCCAATGTCTGTTTGCTTGCTGAAAGCTACTGGCAGGACATCTATTAAAGTGACCCTGTGAGTCACTTAAGAAAATTGAAAGACCGGTTCCCTAGAAGTTACAAGTGTCTCCTACCTTCACTCCATTCCAGCGCTGCAGCCTCCATCAGACATTGCAGCAATAGATACTTGTGGAAATGTCAGATGCCAGTGTTCCCCACCACAAACTGTGGATCTACCCTCCAACCCCACAGGACACAGTGTAGAAGAAAAGCCTCAGAGTAAAAAAGCTTTCCAACTGGAGGACCCTGGCCTTTCGAATTTTTTTAGGCATTTGACAGGTTCATCCAAGATATGTATTTAGCATTTCCAGAATAAAACTAAAGAAAGCTTTTGAAGACATACTAAATACTTGCTCAGTCATAGCTGGCATTGCTAATGATAAACAGATGTCTTTAAAAGGACATGTGTCCCCTGGATGAAAAATATTCAGCTAGATGTTGAGGGGCCCCTGACAAATAGAACATCTTTCCTCTTGTGGTCCATCAGTTTAGGTGACTGAGAGGGTCAGAGTTTTTCTCTTCCCGTTCTTATTTTCCCCTTTTGTTATTTTGTAGATTTCTTAGAAGTGGGCGCAGCTAGGAACATGCTGGTTTCATACCCCTGACCACCTCCCCATTCTCTCTACTCTTGGTATTCTTATTCTCAGTTCCTATGCAATAATAAACCAGATAGCAAGAAGCAACACTTGAACTCAGTTTACTTGCATTAGACCAAAATGTTGGGAACCTCAGCATTTTTACAATATAGATAATGTTCAGGCCGTGACCTTGTTTTCCTGGACTGCTACAAAACTTTATTTATGGACAGAGATGTCATGCAGATTAATATAATGTGTGCATTTATTATCCCTTAAAGTGGTATAGTATTATTATGTTGACTGGAATTTTGCTGGCCTGATAATGTGATGCTTTGGATGGAAACTAATCCTGCAATGTGTTTCTCCTTTAAAAGTCAATAAAAATTATTGGAAAGCAATGCTTGCTCAGAGATGCTCTTGAGGGTAATGTGTATGAGCTAAGATTTAAAAAATTACCTTGTGTATGCAGCCTAACTATGTAGTACAATCGATTATGTGCTGCAATGCAATGCAGCTAAGGGACAACTTTCATCCATCTGTAAATTCTAACCTGAAACCTGAAGTAGAACTGGCTTTGTAGTTACTGCACAGGACTTTCCATTGCTTTGCATCACTAAACGGGACCTGCAGAGTATTCAGACCTTTATTTTTCAAGACTAAAGTGGTTTATTTTAATGTTCAGAGGAATGCATATCAAAAAGTTGCAAGTTTTACCTTAACCAACTCAAAGGGGAAGCGTTCATGAAATATTCGATTAATCCGTGCACCACCGGACAGCTCGTAAGTGTCAATCTGATCCCCAGAACCTTCAATACGTTTTTCAAAGTCAACAGCAAACTGCTGCACCATTCTGTAGAGGAGGGATAGAAAATATTGGAGACATATATATTTTAGTTGTCCCCTGAGCACAACATTTTCCATTTATATCTTTTCTTGAATAACCACAAAAAATATGAATCCACTTGTGCACCAAATGCCTTTGCAAAGCCAAATGTTGCCCTGTAAAAGTAGCACTGACATCACCACTGTGCATGAATAGGAATCAGCAGGCCTACACACTACTGGCTGCCTGCAGGGAACTACATGGGGGGAAATACAAGACCAGTCACCCTGCACAAGGAGAGAGAGCAGCACATTAATTGATTGAGATTCTCCACAACTTCACATATTTCTTTTGGTATTAGGTGGTTATTGAAACCTTGTGTAATCTATGTTACCACTCCTTTTATAGCTGTGATAACCTAAAAAATTACATCTATTAGTTTCCTTAAACCCTCATCTACTTGTGTACTATGTTTATTATTCCCTCCCAAATCAAAAACAAAAAAGATGGGGGATAAATAGTTAGTTCTCTAGTTCAACCAATAAAAAGGAAAAAAAAAAAAAATTACCATTTTTTGTGCTACACCCTAACAGCCTAACTGGCTGTGACGGGATCAACCCTGGAGTGTCCAACCATTTGTCCCAGAGTTTTATCAATTTATCTGTGCATGCCCTATGTTGATAAACCATGTGTTCTCTTTGTAAGACTACATTTACTGATTTTACCTATAGAATGTAAGGCTAGGTTCACAACTATGCATTCTGCGTTTGATCCGTTTCTGCAGTGCTTTTTGCGGTGTGTTTTCGATGCATTTTGCATTTTTTTCCCCAACTAGTTGCTGGGCAGATTAAAACGCAAAACGCGCCAAAAACATGTCAAAAACGCATTAAAAAACGCACTACATGCATTTCTGCAGTGTCTCCATCGAAGTCTATTGAACCAAAGACGCAACGACTTGCGTTTATAAAAGTCCCTGACCCTTTCCAAAATACGCATCGGATGGAAACATGGAGATGTGAACCTGTGCCACAGCAAATCATGTTTAATGGACTGCCATGCGTTTCTGCAAAACGCAACGGAAAATGCATAAGTGTGAACCTAGACTAAGTTGGGGGAGCCATAAAAATCCATTTCTGCAATATGAACTTTCATGCTATATACAGTAGACGAAGGATCGCTGCATGCATCTGAGGGGCGTAAAAACTCTCCATCCAGCCACCCCAATACATATCTAGCCAGAATTATTGTTGGTTGGCAGAGGATTATATACTTATTTTACTCACTTAACTGCAACTCAATTTATAACATTTGTATCATCTGTTTTTTTTCTGGATTTTCGGTTGATATTCTGTCTCTATCATTTAAAATACACCTATGATAAAAAATTATAGACAATTTATTTGTGAGTGGGCAAACTTACAGTCTGCAGGGGATCAAATATTAATTTTCCCCACTGTATAGTACTTCAGTACAACTACATACTGTATCTGCTGCTTAACCAACTGAAAAAGTTTGCATCCATCATGGGAGATTAAACTGACCTGATTGTGGAAAGGATGGATCATCCTGTGAGTAGCATTATAAATACAGCAAAACTCTACAGTTAGTCCATTTTTTTTTGCTAGAGTTGCTTATATAAGTAATAAAAAACCATGCATAGGACATGGCTCAAGGCTGCCGACTGAGATTTTCTAGTAGGTTGGAACATCACTATGACTAATTTTATGTTTGTTACTACTATTCCCGCAGGAAAAGATTCTTTTCTTAGGCACACATTCAGTATATGTTCTATAGACAGTTCTGCACTGGGTGCGACTGATGTCAGATCCAAACTGTCCTTATTTTGTGCCTATGAGGAATTTTAGCCCTTTTTGATGGAGAGGCTATGGGTGGGATCTCAATGCTTTAAAAGTGTAACTGCACCTTTTCTGCAGTTACTCTTAAAGCGGAACTACACCCAAAAGGGGAAGTTCCGTTTGTTTGCCTCCCCCCCCCCCTCCACTGCCACATTTTGCACTATTTAGGGGGGAGTAGGTACCTGGTTTTGACAGGTACCCACTCCCACTTCCAGGTCAGATCGTTGCGGCGATCTGAGACAGAAGCTTGGCCCCCCTTCTAACCCCTGCAGGCTTTAGGGACCTTTCACAGGTCCCTGAAGATTGTGGCCCATTCACAAAGGGCAGCGTGCTTTGCATGTGCAGTAGAAAACTGGCTGTTAAGCAAAGCTTCACTTCCGGATTCCCTTAAAGAGGATGCCGGCGCCTGCACCCAAAGCTGATTAAAGAATCGGCTCAGGTGAGGACATTGCTGGATCCCTGGACAGGTAAGTGCCCTTATATTAAAAGTCAGCAGCTACAGTATTTGTAGCTGCTGATTTCTAATTTTTGGGGGGGAACCCGGAGATTTGCTTTAAGTGTGATGGCATTCCCCAACTCCCCTCCAAGGCATATGCTTGCCCAATCCTGCTTCATTAAGATCCTTCCTGTGTAGCCTGGTTGGATCTACAATGCCAGTTCTCAAAATCTTCATCATTGGGTTTGGCACTTCCTATACATACGCACCATACAGTGGGGCAAAAAAGTATTTAGTCAGCCACCAATTGTGCAAGTTCTCCCACTTAAAAAGATGAGAGAGGCCTGTAATTGGCATCATAGGTAGACCTCAACTATGAGAGACAAAATGAGAAAACAAATCCAGACAATCACATTGGCTGATTTGGAAAGAATTTATTTGCAAATTATGGTGGAAAATACGTATTTGGTCAATATCAAAAGCTCATCTCAATACTTTGTTATATATCATTTGTTGGCAATGACAGAGGTCAAACGTTTCCTGTAAGTCTTCACAAGGTTGGCACACACTGTTGCTGGTATGTTGGCCCATTCCTCCATGCAGATCTCCTCTAGAGCAGTGATGTTTTGGGGCTGTCGCTGGGCAACACGGACTTTCAACTCCCTCCAAAGGTTTTCTATGGGGTTGAGATCTGGAGACTGGCTAGGCCACTCCAAGACCTTGAAATGCTTCTTACGAAGCCACTCCTTCGTTGCCCGGGCGGTATGTTTGGGATCATTGTCATGTTGGAAGACCCAACCACGTTTCATCTTCAATGCCCTTGCTGATGGAAGGAGGTTTGCACTCAAAATCTCACGATACATGGCCCCATTCATTCTGTCCTGTACATGGATCAGTCGTCCTGGTCCCTTTGCGGAGAAACAGCCCCAAAGCATGATGTTGCCACCCCCATGCTTCACAGTAGGTATGGTGTTCTTAAGATGCAACTCAGCATTCTCTCTCCTCCAAACACGACGAGTTGTGTTTCTACCAAACAGTTCTATTTGGGTTTCATCTGACCATATGACATTCTCCCAATAATCTTCTGGATCATCCAAATGCTCTCTAGCAAACTTCAGATGGGCCCGGACATGTACTGGCTTAAGCAGGGGGACACGCCTGGCACTTCAGGATCTGAGTCCCTGGCGGCGTAGTGTGTTACTGATGGTAGCCTTTGTTACGTTGGTCTCAGCTCTCTGCAGGTCATTCACTAGGTCCCCCGTGTGGTCCGGGGATTTTTGCTCACCATTCTTGTGATCATTTTGACCCCACGGGGTGAGATCTTGCATGGAGCCCCAGATCGAGGGAGATTATCAGTGGTCTTGTATGTCTTCCATTTTCTAATTATTGCTCCCACAGTTGATTTGTTCACACCAAGCTGCTTGCCTATTGCAGATTCAGTCTTCCCAGCCTGGTGCAGGTCTACAATTTTGTTTCTGGTGTCCTTCGACAGCTCTTTCGTCTTCACCATAGTGGAGTTTGGAGTATGACTGTTTGAACTTGTTATCAGTATAAAAGACACCTGTCCACAACCTCAAACAGGTGCCATTGATACAGGTAATGAGTAAAGGACAGAGGAGCCTCTTAAAGAAGAAGGTACAGGTCTGTGAGAGCCAGAAATCTTGCTTGTTTGTAGGTGACCAAATACTTATTTTCCACCATAATTTGCAAATAAATTCTTTCCAAATCAGCCAATGTGATTGTCTGGATTTTTTTTCTCATTTTGTCTCTCATAGTTGAGGTCTACCTATGATGCCAATTACAGGCCTCTCTCATCTTTTTAAGTGGGAAAACTTGCACAATTGGTGGCTGACTAAATACTTTTTTGCCCCGCTGTAATCTCTGTTCAGTTGTATAAAAGAGTTTGTACAGTGCAAACTCTCTCTAGGGATTGAATGGAGATCAATTATGAGTAAACTTTGCATTTACTTCTACTTTAATAAAAACTACCAAATATAGCTAAAAGCAATGCTATTCCAGAAATCATAAAGCCTGCTATAAATCACACTGAGCACTACTCACTGGAGCAGGGCCTTGGTTTTACGGGCTGGATCATCTGGACGGAAATTCTTGTACTCGTCCACTTCCTTCTCAATGGACAAGAGCTGGCTCTGCAGCTTGTTCCGCAGGCCTGGAAGTGTGTCTCGAATATGATTGGTCAGTTGCTGAAGAAGGAAAAATACAATAGTGAAAGTTGCCCATGCTGGGAGGTGGATCAGACCAGGTGTGGTATGGTCCACAATTCATTTATCAGCATTTCTAATAAAGGCAATAAATGTGTGCCCTTTCCTTAAATAGCTCATTTGGAATGGTGTATTGTATTTATGTGTACATCTCATTAGTGACTGGGCTTAAGCAATATGTCAGTGTAAACGTTTGAGTAAAGCTGGCCATACACTGGCCATGAACATTGATACAAAAAATCTTGTCAATACATTTTGTTAACACCATCAGAGATTTAAAATTTTTGTTTGAAAGTACTAATGTTGAAAGTAGGCAACCAGGATTTTTTTTTTCTTAAAAAAGCACAGGTGTGAACAGGGTCTTAGTTCTAGCACTTGATTTTGGAATGAATGAAAATTCCTGAACGAAAAACCACATTCACTTCAAATTTTGCTTGTTTGAAGATTTGACCCCACTATTAGAAAATGAAATGAATGTTCCAAAAACAAAAATCTTTGAATGCAATTCTACTCCTATATGGCCAGCTTTAGTCAGAAATATGGAAGTAATAGTATAACATTATGGCTTCACCAGACACGCCACTCTCTGTTATGGCTCTGAATAGATACACAACCATTAAATGTGCTTCCCAATGCTCAGATAATAGCTTAAAGTGTAGGAAAACCAAAACAATTACATTCTATTTGCTTCCTTTTAGCCTGTTTAATATATACATTTGACGCATTTCAGTATATCTGTTTGGTAACTGCAAAATAAAACCTGTTGATCTTGTCAGAACTTCAGAGCTGTTTTATCTCATAGAGCCCTTCTAGTTATTAACTTGGACTACAGAATAAATTAATCTCGATGTTGTGAAGATCTGAGAGCAGGAGTGGTTGAGTAATTTAGCAGGGCTGACACCACTCAGTCCACAAAAATACTGTGATTTGTCAGCACTCAACAGGGTTCAAGAACGCAGAGGACTAAAACACAAAAAATGCACACGTGCTTCAGAGATATTTTTTTTTCCTTGACATACAGTCATGGCCGAAATTGTTGGCACCCTTGATATTTTTCCTGAAAATCAAGTATTTCACACAAAAAAGGTATTGCATTAACACATGTTTTGCTATACACATGTTTATTCCCTTTGTATGTATTGGAACAAATAAAACAGAGGCAGAAAAGCAAATATGACATAATGTCACACAAAACCCCAAAAATGGGCTGGACAAAAGTATTGGCACCCCTTAACTTAATATTTGGTTGCACACCCTTTGGAAAACATAACTGAAATCAGTCGCTTCCTATAACCATCAATAAGCTTCTGACACCTCTCTCACCCGGAATTTTGGACCACTCTTCCTTTGCAAACAGCTCCAGGTCTCTCTTATTGGAAGGACACCTTTTCCCAACAGCAATTTTAAGATCTCTCCACAGGTGTTCAATGGGATTTAGATCTGGGCTCATTGCTGGCCACTTCAGAACTCTCCAGCGCTTCTTTGCCATCCATTTCTGAGTGCTTTTTGACGTATGTTTGGGGTCATTGTCCTGCTGGAAGACCCAGGATCTTGGACGCAAACCCAGCTTTCTGACACTGGGCCCTACAGTGCGACCCAAAATCCTTTGGTAATCCTCAGATTTCATGATGCCTTGCACACAGTCAAGGCACCCAGTGCCAGAGGCAGCAAAACAACCCCAAAACATCATTGAACCTCCACCATATTTTACCGTAGGTACTGTGTTTTGTTCTTTGTAGGCCTCATTCCGTTTTCGGTAAACAGTAGAATGATGTGCTTTACCGAAAAGCTCTATCTTGGTCTCATCTGTCCATAAAGACGTTTTCCCAGAAGGCTTTTGGCTTACTCAAGTACATTTTGGCAAACTGTAGTCTTGCTTTTTTATGTCTCTGTGTCAGCAGTGGGGTCCTCCTGGGTCTCCTGCCATAGCGTTTCATTTCATTTAAATGTCGACGGATAGTTCGCGCTGACACTGATGCTCCCTGAGCCTGCAGGACAGCTTGAATGTCTTTGGAACATGTTTGGGGCTGCTTATCCACCATCCGGACTATTCTGCGTTGCAATCTTTCATCAATTTTCCTCATCCGTCCACGACCAGGGAGATTAGCTACAGTGCCATGGGTTGCAAACTTCTTGATAATGTTGCGCACTGTGGACAAAGGCAAATCTAGTTCTCTGGAGATGGACTTGTAACCTTGAGATTGTTGATATTTTGCCACAATTTTGGTTCTCAGGTCCTCAGACAGTTCTCGTCTCCTCTTTCTGTTGTCCATGCTTAGTGTGGCACAGACAGACACACAATGCAAAGGTTAAGTGAACGTCTCTCCTTTTTATCTGCTTTCAGGTGTGATTTCTATATTGCCCACACCTGTTACTTGCCCCAGGTGAGTTTACAGGAGCATCACATGCTTGTAACATTCTTATTTATCCGCAGTTGTGAAAGGGTGCCAATACTTTTGTCCAGCCCATTTTTGGAGGTTTGTGTGACATTATGTCGAATTTGCTTTCTTTCCTCCCTTTTTTTGTTTTGTCCCAATACACACAAAGGGAATAAACATGTGATAGCAAAACATGTGTTAATGCAATACGTTTCGTGAGAAATACATGATTTCCTGGAGAAATATCAAGGGTGCCAACAATTTCGGCCATGACTGTATGCTTTAACGTGACGTATAAGCTCCAGTAATATGGTGATGTTTGCATATGGGAACGGTATATTCTGCACATTTTCAAACCCTCATATCTCTATATACCATGTTAATGCATTGTGCAATCTGAGATAAAGTCCATATTGGGGAGGAATACTTGTCAGAAATTTGCCAAATACTTCGCTTACGATCCATATATGCTGATGATTAAGGCTGCTGAGGTGTCAGAGTGATCCTTTATTAGACATCTACTCTGTGCAAATTGTTTAAAGCGGTAGTGAAGGCTATTAAAAAAAAAAAAAAAATCTTCCACCTGCAAGTTTAGAGCATAATGCGCTAGTATGAAAGACTTACCTTAAAATGAAGTCCTCCTCCAGCACGCTGTCAACACTGACAGGGCTTCCATATTCCCCAGGACTTCCTTCCAGGGTCGCAGGCTCCAGCTGTTTGAATGGCTAAGGTGTGATTATGTCAAGACCGCGCATACACACGGGAGCCACGATCATGGCACAGAGCTCTGAAGGGACGGCCTGCTGTCGCTTCAGAGCACAGTGTGCATGCACCGCTGATGTCACTGGCTGCAGAAGTAATGAATATCTCCTAAACAGTGCACGTTTAGGAGATATTTCTTGTACCTACAGGTAAGCTTTATTGTACGCTTACCTGTAGGTACAAGTGAGCAAGTAGTGTTTACTACAACTTTAAGGGCTGGTTTCCACCATGTTCATTGAGCTGCATTGATCTGCATAGATCAACAAAGGCTCAATCCAACTTCACATATAAAACAAATGCGCCCTGTTCACATCAAGCAATGCATAAAAATGCAGCATGTATGAAATTTTATCCAGCACAACTCACCGCACCAAATGTCACTGCACTGCAGTGTGTCAAAATGTGCAAGACTGCATAGAGTTGTAGATCGAACGTAAAAGTAGTTCTATGGTTTATAAAGTTGAAAAAAAAAAAAACCTCTGGTCCATGTGTGTGTGCTTTTTATTCTCTAATAATTCCCCCGTTGTTTCTTATTCTAAAAGCTTTTTGAAGTTTTCAACACTCAGCTAGTACCAATACCTGGGAGAGGGAATTCCACATTATTCGGTAAACAGTGCATTGTGTTTAACAACATATCACACCACCACATCTACTTAACGTATATCAGTGTGAACACATTTTAGCATGTGGGCTAGAACTGTAAGATACGGAGATCACGAATATCCAATAACAACATTCCTTCTTGTATATATACAGCAATCATGTGACCTTCCTTCCAAATAACATCTACCTGTTCACCAAGCCTGAATTGACAAATTGCTAAATAATGATTGGTGCTTGTGCAGTCATCTCTGTTAAACACCCATCTTGTTTTCACCTTTCAACAACACTAAGAATGATTATGTGATTAAAGTTGACTGTCACTCCCAATCAGCATTCTTGTTCACCAAGTAAAATGTTACGGCCATTTGAGAAGCTACAGAACTAGAGCAGGTAAGAATCAATAATATTGTATGGAAAACGTCTTTGAATGCATTGTTTTCTCAACATAATTAGAATTTTACTTTAAACTGGATTGACTAAGTTTAAACTACAGCTGCTTGGTCCTAAAGTATGCTTTTGTATTGGGTACCTGATTGAGAGTTTTTTGTAGATATGGGGTCCCCATGCGGTCAGCGAACTGTCGATAAGCAGGATGTGACAAGAAAAACTTCCTCTCAGCTGCCAATGCGGCTTGGATATCTTTCTTACCATCGATGTCCTTTTGGCTCCTGTTTACAACTCCAACATAACCTGAAGAAGATAAGGTCAAGGATCATGGCAGGTCTCCCCATGACAAATACATTTTACAATTGTTGGTGAGGCTACAGGAAAGACTTTCGCATATAGATCAAAACTCTATTCCTACTATCCCCCCAAAACACACGAATGTTGGTTTTAGGCTATAAAATTGAGTTGCGTTTTCTTTTTTGTCCAAACCTGTAAAAGGAGTCAGGTGATACCAATGCTCAGCATTATGCTCTGATCAATTATTAAAAAGGAGCTGGGGGGGGGGGGGGGTTACCTCTTCGGTGTGTCCTAGTCCTCCTGATCTTAACTACCCAATCCTACTCCCCTGCAGCTACTTAACCCTTTCATGACTGGGGTCGGTGATGCCTAGATGTTCAGGTCATATTTAACAGGGTCAGAAATTGACAATAACTCTTTGACTAATTTGTCTACATAAATCATTTTTTACATACGTACATAGCTTTTATTTGGTACCCGGTTTTTAATAAATAACCAACTCAATTTTTCTAGTACAAGCGGACAATGGGCAAAAAAGTGTAAAATAGCAACTTAAATTTAACAGGTTATGTACGTTTTTTGACGTTCTTTTATTACTGTATGCTTTTTTTTACAGACTGCTGTTCTCTTTAACAGCTGTAGCCTGTCAACTGCTTCTGCTACAATGCCTCTCTGTGACTGGCTAATACGTTCTAGAACCAATGTCACAGAACTAGCAGCTGACACAGGTACCAACTGTTAGTCCTGGGAACATTTATTAACATATTCTGAACACGAGACAAAACTTCTAGACCTCCAGAAGTCTAAGGCCTTGTTCACACCATAAGTGAAGATTTCACTGGAAGAGACATCAGTTTACATCAGTTTTCATATGCTTGAGTTTTATACACATTGCAGATTCCTGAGCAGAAAAAATCTGCACCTGATTACCAGTGTTGTGGTGTGAACAGGGCACATAGAGAACAACTGATTTTGTTGTGCCCTTACAGAACGCGTGCATAAAAACTGCCATCTCTGCACCATGGTGTGAACGAACCCTTAGAGGGATCACATCACAGTGCAATACACTTTACAGCGGTTAACACGTGAAAGTGTCTTAACCACTTCAAGTCCGGACACTTTCACCCCTTTCCAGCGCTATTACACTTTGAATGACAATTGCGCGGTCATGCAACACTGTACCCATATGACATTTTTAGCATTTTTTTTGAGGTATATAAAACTTTTTAAAATTTTTGAAAAAATATGTGTTTTTCTTAAAAAATTTTGCAAATAAATAATCTTTCTTCATAAATCTTGGCAAAAATGTATTCATCTATCTTTTTAGTAAAAAAAAAAAAAATAAAATAACCCAAATTGGTTTATAACCAAAAATTATAACTTTTCAAAATTTATTTTACTTTTTTATTTTATTTTTTTTTGTATTATTTATTTATTTTTTAGATACTGTCACCCTAGCAGTACAGTGTTACCATAGTGACACTGTACTACTTGTGGGGGGTGATGAAGATTTTTTTTTCTTTTTTTACACTGATTGCGAAATACTGTGCGAGCTGTGATTGGTCACAACTTGTCACATAGTACAAGGGCTGTTGTAAATAGCCTTGTACCACGTGACCTCTGTGATCATTCACAGATTTCACAAGTAGTAAACAATGATGTCAGGAAGTGATATATTGTTTACTACTATGCATGTGATCACTGATTGGCCAATCAGTGATCACTGTTTGGCCAATCAGTGATCACATGAATCGGGACCTCACACAGAGCTCCCAGGGAGCGCGCACTGGCAATGGATGCAGGGGGGACATTTAGAAATGTTTATCGGCAATGGGCTGGACGGGAAGAGGCTAAAGTATATTTACTCTTAATGAAGCCCAGTGACATCTATTTTAAATTAAAAAATGGCAGACTTCCACTCAAACACCTAAAAACGAAACTCAAATAAATACAGCTACCACTTTTGAACTGTGTTGTACTACGGGATTCATCCACCCTCACCTATTATTTTTATTATACAGGATTTATATAGCGCCAACAGTTTGCTCAGCACTTTACAATATAAAGGGAGACAACAGCAACAATACAGTTCGTTACAAGAGGGTTAGCAGGGCCCTGCTCCTTGGAGCTTACAATCTAAGAGGGAGGGGTTGGTGGTACAAAAAGGTAATAACTATGGGGGATGAACTGATAGGAGAAATAGAAGATTCAGTTATTAGCTGAAGGCAGGATAGGCTTCCCTGAAGAGATAGGTTTTCAGAGATCGCCTAAAAGTGGGCAGAGTAGGCGATAGTCATATAGATTGGGGTAGAGAGTTCCAGAGGATGGGGGAGGCTCTGGAGAAGTCCTGAAGATGAGCACGGGAGGAGGAGACAAGGGAGCTAAAGAACAGGAGGTCATGGGAGGAGCGGAGAGTACGGTTTGGGTGATATTTGGAGACAAGATCAGTGATGTAATTTGGGGCATGGTTATAAATGGCTATATATGTTATTGTTAGTGTTTTGAATTTTATTTGTTGGGCAATGGGAAGCCAGTGGAGGGATTGACAGAGAGGGATGGCAGATATGGAATGGTTGGTAAGGTGGATGAGTCTGGCAGCAGCATTCATGATAGACTGAAGAGGGGATAGTCTGCGAATTAGGTAGGCCAATGAGGAGGGAGTTACGATAGTCAAGGCGAGAGATAACAAGGAAGTGAATAGGTTGCTTAGTGGTTTCAGAGGTTAAAAACGGGCGTATCTTGGAGATGTTGCGGAGGTGAAGTCTACAAAATTTGGACATTGATTGGATTTGGGGCAGAAAGGACATATGGGAGTCTAGGATTACACCTAGTACCCTGGCATGAGGGGAGGGACTGATGGTTGTATTATTGATCTTGATGGAGAAGTCAGGGGAGGGGGCACGGGCTGAAGGGAATAGTATGAGCTCCGTTTTAGAAAGATTTAGTTTGAGGAAGTGGAGTGACATCCATGCTGATATGTCACTTAGTAGGTTCGTAATGCGTGAGGAGACTAAAGGGGTGAGGTGAGGAGTAGAAAGATAGATTTGTGTGTTATCAGCATAGAGATGGTACTTAAAGCCATGGGAGTTTATCAAGTGACCAAGGGAAAAGGTGTAGATGGAGAAGAGAAGGGGGGTCCAAGTCAGAACCTTGAGGGACCCCTATAGAAAGAGGAAGTAGAGAGGAGGAGACAGAGTTATAGGGAATGCTGAAGGAGCACTGCGATAGGTAAGAGGAGAACCAGGAGAGAGCAGAGTCTCAGAGGCCAAGAGAGTGGAGTTTTTTTTTGAGGAGGGTTTGGTCAACAGTATCAAAAGCTGCAGAGTGATCAAGTAGTAAGAGTATGGAGTAGTGGCCATTGGTTTTTGCAGTTAGTAAATCATTAGTGAGTTTTAGTAGGGCAGTTTCAGTGTAGTAGTGAGCGAAAGCCTGACTGTAAAGGGTCAAGAAGGTTGTTGTCAGTGAGATAGGAGCTCAGGCAACTGTAGATTAAGCATTCTAAGAGTTTGAAGGTAAACGGGAGCAGGAAGATGCGTCTTAAGTTGTTCAGATTGGTGGGGTCCAGTGGAGGACTTTTTGAGTATGGGAGTGATCTGTGCATGCTTTAAAGTGGAGGGGAAGGAGCCAGTAGAGAGGGAGAGATTGAAGATGTGAGTGAGGGAGCATAGGATAGAAGAAGAGGGTGACTGTAGTAGTTGTGAGGGGACAGGATCCAGGGGGCACGTGGTGAGACGGGCTTCTGAGAAAACTTTAGTGGCCTCTTCAGTACTAGCAAGGTCAAAAGGGGAAAGTGTTGAGGGAGGTTTAGTACAAGATATGCTAAGTGGGATAGATGTCTGTGTAGTAATTGCATCAATCTTGTTTTTGAAATGATTGGCAATCTCGTAAGCAGTGAGTGAGCTACTGAGTGGAGACAGAGGTGGAGATAGAGAAAGTAGAGAGTTAAAAGTAGAGAAGAAACGACGAGGACTGGATGACAAGGTGTTAATAAGAGTGACAAAGTAGGCTTGTTTGGTAGCATGGAGGGAAGAATTGTATTTTAAGAAAGCAGATTTATATAGGGTGAATGCTTGCTGGGATCTGGTTTTACGCCACAATCGCTCCAGCGCATGACTATGTAGCTTAAGATTTCGGGTGTCCCGTCAGTCTGCCACAGTTGTAATGGTTGGAACCTAATACTTCGTGTAGTTAGAAGAGCAAGTGAGTCTAGTGTGGATGAAAGCGAACAGTTGTAGACAGAAGTGGCTAGGTCAGGGCAGGACAGGGGAGAGATTCTGTCATAGTTGCAGAATTGAAAAGAGAAGGGTTAAAGTTGTGAAGGTTTCTGCGGGTGATTGTTTGCTGTTTGGAGGGATAGGGGTTTGAAGATGAGGATACTGTGAAGGTGATGAGATCGTGATCAGAGAGAGGAAAGGGGGTGTTTGTGAGGTTGTAGGTAGTGCAAAGAAAGGAGAAAACAGGGTCTAATGTATTCCCATCAGAGTGAGTGGAGGACTGTGTCCATTGTGCTAAGGCAAAAGATGAGATTAAATTGAAGAGTTGGGATGTAGCTGGGTTGTTCACATTAACAGGGATGTTAAAATCTCCAAGAATGATAGTGGGTATTTCAGAGCAGAGAAAGTAGGGTAGCCAAGCAGTGAAGTCATCAAGAAAGCGTGACACCTGTCCAGGAGGCCAGTAGATCACTGCAATCCTCAGAGAAATGGGAGAAAACAGTCGAATGCAGTGAGTCTCGAAAGAAGAGAAGGATATAGAGGGAGGGTTAGGGAGGACTTGAAAGATGCTCAATGGGGATAGAAGCAAACCAACTCCACCTCCTTTCCAACCACTGGGTCTGGGTGAGTGAGTCCAGTGTAGGCCTCCATAGGAAAGAGCTGCGGGAGAAGCAGAAACTGATGCTTAAAGGCATGCACATGCCTTCCTGTTCTGGTGTTTGAGTCAGCAGGTGAGTAAAGTATTAGCAGGAGGAGATGAGAGCAGTGGTAGGGAGATGGAAGAAGTGAGGGTGATATGTATAAGCTTTAGGGTGGAGCAAAGGGGTAAAGAAATGGGATTTTGAGAACAGAGGATAATAATATGAAATGGAGGAGTAGATGGGGCATATTAAAAGGTAGATGCAGTGGTAATCAGATTTGTAGGAGATGTTTCCCAGGGTGTTTTGCTTGCAGTCCATCCAGAGTGCAGTAGACTTCTTTGTTGTATCTTCTTGCTGCTTTAATTATGCTGCTTTACTTAAACTGCTGTGTTCAGCTGCTGTTTTGCACTCATGTAGGACAATGCCCCCATCTGTGACTGTACCAACCCCCTGTCTGTGACTGTGGCCAAGCTCCAAAATGAACCTTCATTGGAAAAGAGTGGACACCATCTGCGACCAAACTTTGAGGTCTTCTTTTTCTATGACTAAGGCTGTGGACCAAAATTTTCACTTGGGCCTACCCATCTCTAGTTCTGATCAGTTGAGGAGAATGCAGGTGACCAATATTTTAAAGGCTTGATCTCTCTATGTTGCAGGTTGAAGAGGGCTTCTTTAATGAAGGATCTACTGACAAGTATACTAAAGGAGTTTTGGATGAGAGACTTGACAACCAGAACCAAAGACCATATATATATATATTATATATATATATATATATATATATATATATATATATATATATATATATATATATATATATATATATACACATACATACACACACACACACACAGTTGTGTTCAAAATAATAGCAGTGTGTTGAAAAAAGTGAATAAAGCTCAAAATCCTTCTAATAGCTTTTATTTCCATACACACAAATGCATTGGGAACACGACACATTCTATTCCAAATCAAAACATGAAGAAAAATATATCAAATTTGTGTTGTTCCTCTAAATAAAATTGAAGAAAAGTGAGTATTAGGCGGTTCAAAAAATAGCAGTGTTTGTATTCTTCTTTACAAACTCAAACATTCACTATATAAACTGAAAAATGTTTGAAGATTTTGCTTTCCTTTGATATCACTTAATTAATATTTAGTTGTATAAGCACGGTTTCTGAGAACTGCTGTACATCTGTGTTGCATGGAGTCAACCAACTTCTGGCACCTGTGAACCAGCCCAGGGTGATTGGACTACATTCCACAGTTCTTCTCTATTTCTTGGTTTTGCCTCAGAAACTGCATTTTTTATGTCACCCCACAAGTTTTCTATTGGATTAAGATCCGGGGATTGGGCTGGCCACTCCATAACATCAATCTTGTTGGTCTAGAACAAAGATGTTGCACATTTACTGGTGTGTTTGGGGTCGTTGTCTTGTTGGAACACCCATTTCAAGGGCATTTCCTCTTCAGCATAAGGCAGCATGACCTCTTCAAGTATTCTGATGTATTCAAACTGATCCATGATCCCTGGTATGCGATAAATAGGCCCAACACCATAGTATGAGAAACATCCCCATATCATGATGCTTGTGCAACCATGCTTCACTGTCTTCACAGTGTACTGTGGCTTGAATTCAGTGTTTGGGGGTCGTCTGACAAACTGTCTCCGGCCACTAGACCCAAAAAGAACAATCTTACTTTCATCAGTCCACAAAATGTTGCGCCATTTCTCTTTAGGCCAGTCAATGTGCTCTTTGGCAAATTGTAACCTCTTCAGCACATGTCTTTTTTTCAACAGTGGGACTTGCGGGGGCTTCTTGCAGATAGCTTGGCTTCACATGGCGTCTTCTAATTGTAACAGTACTCACAGGGAACTTTAGACCTTCTTTGATCTTCCTGGAGCTGACTGTTGGCTGAGTCCTTGCCATTTTGGCTATTCTTCTATCCATTCGAAATGGTAGTTTTTCGCTTTCTTCCACGTCTTTCAGGTTTTGGTTGTCATTTTAAAGCATTTGCGATCATTTTAGCTGAGCAGCCTATCATTTTCTGCACTTCTTTATACGTTTTCCCCTCTCCAATCAACTTTTTAATCAAGGTACGCTGTTCTTCTGAACAATGTCTGGAACGACTCATTTTCCTCAGAATTTCAGAGAGAAATGCACTGTAACCAGCATGTACAACATTTGCTGCATTCCTTCCTTAAATAAGGGCAATAATTGCCACCTGTTTTTCAAAGAATGAATGACCTCACTAATAGAACTCCACACTGCTATTATTTTGAACATGCCCCTTTTCAATTAGTGATTCAATTACACAGAATCAGCAGCATGCATGTCATGACTGTTGTAGTAAATTATTTGCCATGTAGAAATATCATTTCTACCAAAAACAGTGATTGATCAGGTTAGTGAAGCCTGTATATGTATATATATATATATATATACACAGATCATCAGGTCTAGTTGCTATGAGATATATCTACTTTTGGGTCACAGTGCCTCCACCTTTGTGCATCATTTACACCACAATGTGCAGCCCCTTTCACGCTGACAGTTCAATCAGGTCCGCCTGTCAGTTTTTCAGGGGGACCCTATTGGACCATCCATAGCTCTCTATGGAGCAGTGGGTGTCAGCGGACATGTGTCCAATGACACCCGCCAGCATCCGATCTGATCCTGTACGCTAAAAACAGATGGATGGGGATCCATTCCCCATCCATCTGGCGGATCGGATCAGATGACAGTCAGGTGGAAACGGACAGGTGGCCCGTTTCCATCCGACAGCCCCATAGAAAACAGCGAGGTGTGTGTCTGCGTACACTCTGCATCAGCAGAGTGGACACAGACCTGTCATCCGATTGCTAGGCAGGGATCAGCGGATACCCTGCTGAGCAAGCAGATCCACTGAAGGGTCCGCCCCATCTGAAAGAGGCCTAATAGTAATGTTTTTTTCAGGAACCTAGCCAAATTTGTAAACATTTCATGTTTGTTTTAATTATTTATACATACAATACATAAGATTGTCTAATACAAATTTACACTTAAGTATACAGTTATAAATGTATCTTGAGAGTATGCCTGAAGATATACTGTATTGATGTTTTGTCCTCGTACTTGTCTCATATAACAAAAACTCCATAAAAGGCAGTTAAAATCTATAACAAATAAATGCATTATAACTTGTCTTGAATGGTAAAAGATGTGCAAATAAGTGTGTATGTATATTATATATATAAATAGATATATTTACAGCCAATCTTGAGATGCAGGCACCCTTGCAGTACCGCAGATCTAGTTTTGTGACCTCGATTTCAAACTGCAGTCAAGCAATACAGCTTGGTCACCAACCCAACTCCAGCTTGTTGATTGGATTGTAAATGAACACCCCTACAATTATGAGGGAATTAGTCTGGTTTTTATTTCTATCAAAAAACTCAGTTTTGTCTTTTTTTACTATGAATTACAAAAGAGCTACTAAAGCTAGTAGATCTGCCTCTCCTCTTTTAGGCTCAGTTCTGTTGTGAGAAGATAACAGTAAGCTAACATAAAAGCAGATTTTAGTAATTACATTAGCTGCATTTCCGAAAATATTTATTGATTTTCGTTTAAATGTTGAATATATAACTTGATTAAATGGCGATTGTTTATATCTGCCTGAAGTTCAGCTTTAAAAATATTAGAATTACTTACCCTTTGAGTGAACACGTCATTTTAGTATATAATTCTCATGAAAAATTCTCTGAAGTGCTGCGGGTATAAAAGCTGTACACTTTCATTATGAAAAATTTGTCCTCACCTCTCCGCAAAGGTAATAGCTTATTTTCCAAGACATCTCGGGCATCTGTCCCTTCATCCATCAGGTCGAGTTTGGTTATGACACCAATTGTGCGTAGCCCTGCATAAAAGATATGATAAAGGTGTTGTCTTGTTATTCTTTTATTTTGTAAGAATATATTTTAACAGACCTATACATAATACAAAGCATCTCTGAATCAGATCCTCTGGTCTCTAAAATAATCTGTCCCAAATAAAAAAAAAAAAAAAAAAAAAAGACTCCAGCTTTGCTAGTCTCCTTGTTGATTTACAAAATGAGATAAAGCTTCGCCTTAAAAAGAATACCCAATCAAATGCAAGAAAAAAAATGCATGCATTTTTGCTTGCACATGATTGGATGATGGAAGTCAGCGGAGCTTTACCACATTTAATAAGCTCTGGAGCAACTGCACATTCTATTTAGAACTTTAATAAATCAAGCCCTATGTCTACCAAGCTCAACCTCTCAAATCCTGCAGCTCTGATCCAAAATAAGGCAACTGTTGCCAATTTTGCCTTATGTGAGAAAAACAAATTCTTTCATTACACCCCAAGGGCAATTGACTCAATTGGCTGGATCAGAATCTTTGATTTTTGTATAATTTATACGATTGTTATATCAAATAAGGGACAACTGGGAGGATGATTCCCTGTCCTACGGGATCTTACTGTCTGTTGTTTTTTTTACCATAGTATTACAAACTACTGCCAATTCTAAGCAGAAGCCTAAACCATTAGGATGTTTTCAGTTGTGTGATGAAACTTATCCCACAAAACCCATACAAACAGGTAAAGAACATACAAAGTCTATACAGAAACTATCCAGGCAAAAAGCCGGACCACAGTGCCACAAGGTAACAATGCTAACAAATACTCTAAGTTGCTGCTATATACATTCTGTGCTCAAATGGCACTTGAACTACGACCTCTCAGCACTTCACCCATATCCAGCTTGGTTTCCACTAACTCAGGAGGTATGATTCAAAGCCAGGCACTACATGGATTCTTACTATCTTCTGGTATCTGAAAGACTAAAGGTGATCTCAGGGCTTTGGAAGAAAACACACTCATTTCCTTATAAATGTATAGTGTCTTTGTAGATATTTTAATTATTGATGTTAAAAATTAAACTTTTTTTTTACTATTTCAAATTTACTAGTCCAACCAAGTCAAATTCTCTGTCTTCATTTTACTGAATATAATCTTCAAATTGATCTGCTATTGAGAACAAACATATCTGAACAGGTGAGAAAGGAAAACCCCTCCCGTTCATATGTCCCTGTATGAAGTTTCAATTAAAAATAGTCAGAAAGTAAGCAGTCATAATTGCTAGATCCTCCTAATATATAGCCCAGTAAGCTCTGAAAAGACTGCACCATAATGACACCAACATTAAAGGTTTACTGACAATATGACTAGAACAAGTGTGCCTGTTCATTGAAGGGGATGAAATTCTGAAGTCTTTAGTTAAATTCCTGCAAGTTGTATGCTCTTAAAAGAAAGATAACCAAAAACCATCATGGTTTACTTTGTGAGTTTTGAGGGACAGGGATGTTAATGGCAGCAAATTTATATCTACAAATGAAGAACAAATATTTTATTAAACTGGCCCAATCTACAACTTTCACTTTTCTAAATCTCTGCTAATGAACATACTTTAGATCTGAATCAAATCCAATATTATGGCTTCACTAAATAAACACATGGGTAAAATAAGACACAAAACAAAAAACACATGCAAAGACAGAAAACCATTCAAAATGAAACAGACTAACAGGAAGTCATTTCTGGGCTGCTTTCTAGACAAACCTTGAGGATCCACTTCTTTGGCGATTTTCAAGGCATCGGAGTTTGCCAGATCTGTATTAGCTGGAGATACAGCTAGAAGGAGGCAATTCTCCTTGGTAACGAACTGCGTGAGCATGTCACGGATCTGAAACTCAATGTCTGGTGGTTGGTCACCAACTGGGACTTTGGTCATACCCGGAAGATCAACCAGAGTCAGGTTAAGCACTGAAAACAAAGCATTAAAAGAGTTAATATTACACAGACATAAAATAGGCCACTTTTACACAAGGCTGGTGGTAGTAATCTTACTAGTTCCCAAGAAACAACACAATCTATGCTGCTTTACTCATTTTGCACATTCCACAACAAAACAATTAGTCTTTGCCTCCAACAAGCTTGAAAATGGATGTTCCTCTTTCTATCGAGTGCACAGTAATTCATGTAGTTTGGATAGAAACCATTGAAAGCCAAATTCCAGCCTCCCACCCGTAGTGACATCCCATGTGTCATGTGACACACAGAGTGCTCCTTCTCCTCACTGATGCAGAGAGCAGTCTTTGCAGCATTGTGCTGCGCACCAGCGTGCACATGATGAGGCACCCCAAGGGTGTGTATCTCTGACATGCTAGGCTCAGACAAAGGGTCCTCAGTCACACTGGGCATCATTAAACGCAAGGAGGACTGAAACTGGACCATGGCGAGTCTTCCAGGGACAGTTATTTTTTTGGACCAGACTGGGCAATTTTAAAAAGAAAAAAAAAGTAACTGGAGTGGCTTTAATCTAATGCATATATTGATTGGAATTCCACACAAACACAGGATGAATATGTTCTCTGAAGGAATTAAACCTAGGAACTGTAGGAATCTAACCAGATAGTTATAGGCAACCCAGAATTATAGTTACCGATGCACCTGTTTTCAATAACATAAGCAGATTTCAAAACATAGGCCAGTTGACTCACCATTTGGAGAGTAGACACGAAGGTTTATTGGCACAGGAGAAATGCCCTTGTTTGTTCCGGTGATCCGATCGGTTTCAGCCTCGATTTCCATTCTGATCTCTTCAAAATCTGTAAACTTCTTTCCCTTGCAGTGCAGAAACTCCCCATGTTCTACACAATAATAATATAACATAAATCACAAGCTTCACAAATAAGTTATCATAATGATAGGGGAAGTAATTTATAAAATGGAATGCATTGAAAAAAAAAAATGTGGCCCTATTTACTAAGGGAGTACCAGTTTTCAAAACGTTAATGCAACATGTAGGTATAAAATGTTATATATTTTACAGGGTAAGAATTGCACCCTACACATTAAATGGAAGGACTACTGATTAATAGAACACTTATGCATGAAGTTAAAAAACCTTCAGTGTGCAGCAGTGCCCCCAGCACCCTCAATACTTACCTGAGCCCCTTCGAGATCCAGCAATGTGCGTAACAGCCTCGCCTGTCCCAGGTCTCTGCCTGCTCATTGGCTGAGACAGCAAGCGGGAGCCATTGGTTCCAGCTGCTGTCAATCACAGCCAGTCAGCCAATGAGGAGGGGGGGGGGCAAGCCGTGGCTCCATGTGTGAATGGAGCAGCGGGTGCCCGATAGCAAGCTGCTTGCTGTGGGGGCACCCGACAGTAGGGAGGGGCCAGGAGCACAGGCGGGGGACTTGAGAAGAGAAGGATCTGGTCTGCTCTGTGCAAAACCACTGCACACAGCAGGTAAGTATAGACACGTTTGTTATTTTACAAAAAAAAAAAATTAACCTTTAGTATCGCTTTAAGCGGATGATGGGAGCCAAACTTCACCTAATAAAGAAAAATTCTATGCTTGGAAACACTTCACCATCTCTCACCATGAAATCTCAGAATTTGTTGCTCCCCAGCGGTTTCCCTGCGAGGACTGGCTTTCTTGGGCCTTTTATATTTTTCTTTGTGAGGTTAGGAGACCTATTTATAATGGCTCTGCAGTACAATTGCATGATGGCTCTACTTTCCTAAGTATTAATTGCTTTGTTACTTTTTTTTTATAGTACCTTTGTTATACTTTTACTTTGTGTTTTAGCTGCTTATTCGGGCACTATCACTTTACAGACTTTCTAACGTCAATATTACAACAAAGTCTTTCTGTGTAATGTTATACACAGTGCATTCATAAAGTATTCAGACCCTCTTCACTTTTTTACATTTTGTTATATTGCAGCCTGATATTACAGTTTTTAAATTGTTCTTTCTCATTAATCTACACTCAGTATCCCATAAAGTGAAACAGAATTTAAGAAATGTCTGCAAATGTATGAAAAAGGAAAAACTGAAATATCACATTGGCATAAGACCCTTTGCAACAACACTTTAGCTCAGGTGCCTCCTATTTCTCTTGATCATTGCTGAAATTTTTCTACAACTTGATTGGAGTCCACCTGTGGTAAATTAAATTGATTGGACATATTTTGGAAAGGCACAGATTTGAGGGAGGCTACGAAATTGATGGTTCCCAAGAGCACAGTGGCTGTCATATTTCTCAAATGGAAGAAGTTGGGCACAACCAAGACTCTTCCAAAAGCTGATTGCCTGGCCAAACTGAGCAATTGGGGGAGAAGGGTCTTCGTAAGAGAGGTGACCAGGAACCCGTGGTCACTCTGACTGAGCTCCAGAGATCCTGTGTGGAGATGGGACAAAGTTCCAGAAGGACAACCATCACTGCAGCCCTCCACCGATCAGTTTTACTACAGAGTAGTAAGACGGAAGCCTCTCCTCCGTACAAAACACATGAAAGCCTGCTTGGAGTTTGCAAAAAAAAAAAACACCTGAAGGACTCAACTGTGAGGAACAAGATTCTCTGGTCTGATGAAAGCAAGATTGAACTGTTTGACCTCAATTGCAAATGTGTCTGGAGGAAACCAGGCACCACTCATCACTTGCCTAATACAATCGCAACAGTGAAGCATGATGGAGGCAGCATCATGCTGTGGGTCTGTTTTTCAGCAGCAGCAGCAGCAGCAAGGACTGGGAGACTGGTCAGGGTTGAGGGAAAGCTGAATGGAGCAAAGTACAGAGATATCCTCAATGAAAACCTGTTCCCCAGCACTCAAGACTGGGCCAAAGGTTCACCTTCCAACATGACAACAATCCTAAGCACACAGCCAAGACAACACTGGCTGGGCAACTATAGAATATTTACAGAGTTGTCTCTAAGCCACTTCAAGTCCCGACATCTCTGGAGAGACCTGAAAAATGGCTGTCCACTGACGGTCCCTATCAAACCTGACTGAGCTTGAGAGAATATGCAAAGAAGAATGGCAGAAAATCTCCCAACTCAGATGTTCAAAGCTTGTTGTGTCATACCCAAAAAGACTCGAGGCTGTAATTGCTGCCAAAGGTGCTACAACAAAGTACTGAGTAAAGGGTCTGAATACTTAAGTACATGTGATATTTGAGTTGTTTTTTTTTTTTATATTTTAAATTCTGTTTTCACTTTGACATTATGGGGTACTGAGTGTAGATTAAAGAGAAAAAAATGAACTTAAACAACTGTGGTATCAGACTGCAACATAACAAAATTGAAAAAGCGAATACCTTATGAATGCACTCTATATGTGAAATGCTCAGCCTACTATTGGCATATGCTTGCAAACTTGTCATATAATTTAAAATGCTGACAGCTAAATATATTGTCTCTTGGAATGTAATAAATATCAATGACAACGAATTACAATATTTAACCACATTTAGCAATAACAGGCTGTGTTTACATTTCCCAAGAAACAAGGTTTCCATTGTATTTGTATTATTTTTTTAAATCATATGCTGAGGATGTGTATTTACACACTGCACTATTCCATTTCTGTTTATGCAGATTAAGGACTCATGCACACTGGGTATAAAGCCCCGATACACAAGGCTCTGTCCTTCAGGTGCAGGCAGAAGGCTCAGGCTGTAAAACCGTTGTGAAAATCTATGAGAGCTGAGGCTGGACAGTACACTGAGCAATACTAACGTTTAGGGCAGTATGTGTCAAGGGACAAATGCTCAAAATGCAGACTAATTGTGTCACAGCTATTTGTCCCTGGTTCCATACTATCCTAAACATTATTACCCATGGGTCCACTGCCCAGCCACCGCAGCTGTCGGCTTCTCATTAAGCAGGGCTGGAAACTGCGTCTGTGCTTTCCACCTGTACCTAAATGCCAGAACTCCATGCACACAGGGCTAAACGTTTTAAAAAAAAAATACCTGTTGATCTTGCCAGAAATGTCATATCCTCGTAAGTTTCTTTGAATTAAACTGAAATCTCAAACAATGTTACCTTCCTTCCAAGTGATCTTCTATAACCTACAAACCACCCACCCTCATGTAATGGAGATGAAAAGAGGAATCCAAATCAGGAAAGCAAACTAGGATGACAACCCTGGCTCCCCATAGATACAATTCAGTGACTGAGCGCTGTTCCTCTAGAACAGGAAGTATATTACTGGCAGGATTACCAGGTGAAAGTGAAAAAAAAAATTCCTGCTAAAAAAAAAATAATGCAGCCACCAAATCTAAGAATTGCTAAGCTGCAATGTATAAAAATAAAGATACCCTTTAATTAACCACCTCCCATCCAGCCGTTGTATATAAACGGCCGGACGGTGGCAGTGCAGGGTCGAGTGGACCTTTATAAATGGCCTCCCCGCCCCCTGCTTGTGCGCGCTCCCTTGGAGTGCGCAGCACCGCGGTCAGGTGCCCACTGTGTCCTCCGGACACAGTGGAACACCGATCGTCGTACGGGACCTCTGTGCGAGGTCCCGATCATGTGATCACATGCAGAGTAGTAAGCAAGATGTCATTTCTGACATCATTGCTTACAACGTTTGAAATCTGTGAATGATCACAGAGGTCACATGGTACAAGGCTATTCACAACTGCCTTGTACCATGTGACCAATCACAGCTCACACAGTAGTTCTCCATGGCTAAAGAATGCAGCCAAAGAAGAAGGAGAAATTATTGCTTTTACAGCCTTTATGGGTGTAAAAGCAATCAGTGTAAAAAAAATAAATCTTCATCACCCCCCACAAGTAGTACAGTGTCACCATGATGACACTGTACTGCTAGGGTGACAGTATGTAACAAAAAAAATCAAAATCAAAAACATAAATAATAATATTAAAAAATAAAAATGTAAAAAAAAATGTTTAAAAATTATAATTTTTGGTTATAAACTAATTTGGGTTATTTTTTTTTTTACTAAAAAGATAACGGAATAAATTGTGGCAAAGATTTATCATGAAATATTATTTATTTGCAAAATTTTGTAAGAAAAAACACTTTTTTTTTAAACTTTCTGGACATTTTCATTTACATAGCAAAAAAAATAAAAATCCCAGTTGGTGAATAAATACCACCAAAATAAAGCTTTATCTGTCTCAAAAAAATGCTAAAAAAATTCATATGGGTACAGTGTTACATGACCGTGCAATTGTCATTCAAAATGTGATAGTGCTGAAAGCTGAAAATTGGCCTGAACAGGAAGGGGGTAAAAGTGTCCGGACTTGAAGTGGTTAAAAAAAAAACAAAAAAGAAGAACAATCCCCCACTGAACCCAGTGTATATAACACTTGTAACCATTTAAATCTGTACAGAGATTTCAGAGCAGCAGTTGTCAGAAAGCTGGCACCGCTTCTTGCCGCCAATATCCAAAAAACACTAAAATGACAACAGAGTTCTAGACTAAAGGTGGAGGGGGGGGGGGGCGATAGACACAGAAAGCTCACAAGGCCCCCCCTCACCATTCCTTTGAGAGAGACAAATGTAGTAGCTAGCTTGAGCTGTTGTCGGCTTGTATTTTTGTCAATGAAAGTACGGCTGCACCTGCATTTTCTGTGCTCTGAATAGCTGGTGGCTGGTCTGAGCTCCGACGGCAAAAAACGGGAGAAATTAGGAAGCAAAGCGCTGCATAATGAAGAGGGGATGGAGCTCAGTGTTGGCCTGCTCCACCCTCTCCCCCCATAGAAACACCTATATTTTAGGCTTGAGGGGTTGGAGCTACAGCCAGTACAGACATAAAAAGAATTTACCGTATTTTTTTCGCTCCATAAGACGCACCTGACCATAAGACGCGCCTAGGTTTTAGAGGAGGAAAACAAGAAAAAAAATATTCTGAACCAATGGACTGCAGACACAGTACAGGGGATGACCAGAGACTGAGGACATAGTACAGGGGATGACCAGAGACTGCGGACACAGTACAGGGGATGACCAGAGACTGCGGACACAGTACAGGGGATGACCAGAGACTGCGGACACAGTACAGGGGATGACCAGAGACTGCAGACAGTACAGGGGATGACCAGAGACTGCGGACACAGTACAGGGGATGACCAGAGACTGCGGACACAGTACAGGGGATGACCAGAGACTGCGGACACAGTACAGGAGATGAGAAGAGACTGCAGACACAGTACAGGAGATGAGAAGAGACTGCAGACACAGTACAGGGGATGTCAGGGCTCCAGGTATGACCAGAGATGTGTGGACTGACACAGGGAAACGCAGGCTTCAGGTATAGTATAAACAATACAATTTATTAAAGACTAAACAATACATAAACGCAGTGCAAGACTAAACATAAACACAGTGCAAACAAACCAAACCTCCAACAGATAACAATAAGAACAATACTAAACGTAGTCGGGCAGGCTGGGTCGGTAACAAACGGGCAGGCAAGGTACAAGGAGCAGGCGGAAGAGTAGTCAGATATAGCTGAGGTCGGTATAGGCAGAGTTCGTGCAGAGTCAGGATTCAAGCAGGCAGGATGAGGATACAGGGGCCAAGGGAAACTATACACCAAGGCCCTGACTGCAGGCCTGGCCACTCCTTAAATACACCTCCTGCAATCAGCCTCAGGTGATGACTTGATTGCAGGAGTGAGCTTCTGGCTGCTGAGAGCACCCGCTGGCCAGCCCTGGTACTGCAGCCCACACGGCAGGTGAGTCCCACCACCAGTGGTGAGTCCATTCCTGACAGGGGATGACCAGAGACTGTAGACACAGTACAGGAGATGACCAGAGGAGGCAGACACAGTACAGGAGATGACCAGAGACTGCGGACATAGTACAGGGAATGACCAGAGACTGCGGACATAGTACAGGGGATGACCAGAGACTGCGGACATAGTACAGGGGATGACCAGAGACTGCGGACATAGTACAGGGGATGACCAGAGACTGCGGACATAGTACAGGGGATGACCAGAGACTGCGGACATAGTACAGGGGATGACCAGAGACTGCGGACATAGTACAGGGGATGACCAGAGACTGCGGACATAGTACAGGGGATGACCAGAGACTGCGGACATAGTACATGGAATGACCAGAGACTGCGGACATAGTACAGGGAATGACCAAAGACTGCGGATATAGTACAGGGAATGACCAAAGACTGCGGATATAGTACAGGGAATGACCAAAGACTGCGGATATAGTACAGGGGATGACCAGAGACTGCGGACATAGTACAGGGGATGACCAGAGACTGCGGACATAGTACAGGGGATGACCAGAGACTGCGGACATAGTACAGGGGATGACCAGAGACTGCGGACATAGTACAGGGGATGACCAGAGACTGCGGACATAGTACATGGAATGACCAGAGACTGCGGATATAGTACAGGGAATGACCAGAGACTGCGGATATAGTACAGGGAATGACCAGAGACTGCGGACATAGTACAGGGAATGACCAAAGACTGCGGATATAGTACAGGGAATGACCAAAGACTGCGGATATAGTACAGGGAATGACCAAAGACTGCGGATATAGTACAGGGGATGACCAGAGACTGCGGACATAGTACAGGGGATGACCAGAGACTGCGGACATAGTACAGGGGATGACCAGAGACTGCGGACATAGTACAGGGGATGACCAGAGACTGCGGACATAGTACAGGGGATGACCAGAGACTGCGGACATAGTACATGGAATGACCAGAGACTGCGGATATAGTACAGGGAATGACCAGAGACTGCGGATATAGTACAGGGAATGACCAGAGACTGCGGATATAGTACAGGGAATGACCAGAGACTGCGGATATAGTACAGGGAATGACCAAAGACTGCGGACACAGTACAGGGGATGACCAGAGACTGCGGACACAGTACAGGGATGACCAGAGACTGCGGACACAGTACAGGGGATGACCAGAGACTGCGGACACAGTACAGGGGATGACCAGAGACTGCGGACACAGTACAGGGGATGACTAGAGACTGCGGACACAGTACAGGGGATGACCAGAGACTGCGGACACAGTACAGGGGATGACCAGAGACTGCGGACACAGTACAGGGGATGACCAGAGACTGCGGACACAGTACAGGGGATGACCAGAGACTGCGGACACAGTACAGGGGATGGCCAGAGACTGCGGACACAGTACAGGGGATGGCCAGAGACTGTGGACACAGTACAGGGGATGGCCAGAGACTGCGGACACAGTACAGGAGATGGCCAGAGACTGCGGACACAGTACAGGGATGACCAGAGACTGCAGATATAGTACAGGGAATGACCAGAGACTGTGGACATAGTACGGGGGATGGCCAGAGACTGCGGATATAGTACAGGGAATGACCAGAGACTGCGGACATAGTACAGGAATGACCAGAGACTGCAGACACAGTACAGGAGATGGCCAGAGACTGCGGACACAGTACAGGAGATGGCCAGAGACTGCAGACACAGTACAGGGGATGACCAGAGACTGCGGACACAGTACAGGGGATGACCAGAGACTGCGGACACAGTACAGGGGATGACCAGAGACTGCGGACACAGTACAGGGGATGACCAGAGACTGCGGACACAGTACAGGGGATGACCAGAGACTGCGGACACAGTACAGGAGATGGCCAGAGACTGCGGACACAGTACAGGGGATGACCAGAGACTGCGGACACAGTACAGGAGATGGCCAGAGACTGCGGACACAGTACAGGGGATGACCAGAGACTGCGGACACAGTACAGGAGATGGCCAGAGACTGCGGACACAGTACAGGAGATGGCCAGAGACTGCGGACACAGTGCAGGGGAAGACCAGAGACTGCGGACACAGCACAGGAGATGACAAGAGACTGCGGACACAGTACAGGAGATAACCAGAGACTGCGGACACAGTACAGGGAATGATCAGAGACTGCGGACACAGTACAGGGAATGACCAGAGACTGCAGACATAGTACAGGGAATGACCAGAGACTGCTGACACAGTACAGGAGATGACCAGAGACTGCTGACACAGTACAGGAGATGACCAGAGACTGTGGACATAGTACAGATGACCAGAGACTGCAGACAGCAGGGGATGACCAGAGACTGCAGACAGCAGGGGATGACCAGAGACTGCAGACAGCAGGGGATGACCAGAGACTGCAGACAGCAGGGGATGACCAGAGACTGCGGACCTTTGGGGAGGGAGCGGGAACCGGTACCTGAATTTGACAGGTACCCGCTCCCACTTCCGCGGAGTTGTCTTCCTTCTTCTTCCCCGCGGGCGGCTTCTGTGACAGCCGGGTGCCCACTGCGCATACGCGAGAAGCGCTGCGCTTTGTGATTGGCCCGGAGCCTTCTGGGACTTGTCATGTGTCCAAGAAGACACCGGACCATTCACAAAGCGCAGCGCTTCTCGCGCATGCGCAGTAGGCACCCGGCTGTCACAGAAGCCGCTGCGGGAAGACTGCAGTGCTGGAGCGAGGAATAGGTAAGGTCCTGAAGGAGAGAAGAGCTGAGCGGCCGGCCTGATATTCTGACATGGTGGCGGCAGAAAAACCGGACTGGCCACTTTACATTCGCTCCATAAGACGCACTGACATTTCCCCCCTTTTTTTTGGGGGAAAAAGTGCATCGCATGGAGCGAAGAATACGGTAATTATATTTCTATTGCACAGCACAGATTTAAAGTGGAACTAAAGGCTTAACTACTTAACTGAATTTCAATAGTCTGATGCCTGTGAGGACCTTGGTTGGCACCTTCTCCGTGGGTTTTTCCAGGTGCCGGCCTTCGGCTGTTTTGATTGGCAGGATGACGTCTCTCCAGCACATGTGTGGTAATGAAGTCATCCCAGAACACTGGCATTGTGCCAGAATGTGAACTGAGCTGCGCATGTGTACCTTCCACAGAAGATTGCGAATTAGGCAGGTAAGTGTACTTTATTGAATGACTCATCTGTAAAAAAAAAACCTGCCGTTCACAATTTTTTACATTTAGTTCCACTTTAAACAGGGACAAGTGCTATGTGCACAGGGTCTCCTGGGGAACATGTTAACTTTCTTTACATTTTTGGTGAGAGTTCTTCACCGTAAAGGGGAAGTTCTGCTTTATGTCCCCTTCCTCCCCCTACACCATTTTGCACAATAATTTTTTTTTTTTTGGAGAGGGGTTATCCTTTCTTTGTCAGCAACCTTCTGGGGCACGTCACAGGTCCCAGAAGGCTGCAAGACAATTTACAAAGTGCAGTGCGGCTCATGCATGCGCAGTAGGAAGCCAGCTGTGACATAAAAAGGAGTTATAGCCGGATTCCAACAGTAAACATGCTGGTTCCCCCCGAAGACCAGCAAAGAAACAGCCTGGGTGAGGACAGCGCTGAGTTCCTGCTCAGGTAAGTATCCTTCTACTAAAAGTCAGCAACTACAGTATTTGTAGCTGTGGACATTTCATGTTTTCCTTCTAGAGAGAAGATCCTCTTTAACTGCTTCCCACCTGGCCACTGCACATAAATGGTCAGGTAGGATCTTTGCCGTTCTGAGTGGACATTCCCGTACGTCCCTCAGAACATGGCCACGCAATCTTGGTGTGCCTGTGTCCCCCGGACACAGCACAAGGCTGCTCAGCAGAAGGGCTCTCCAATTGGCCCTTCTGATCACTTGATGGCTGTGTCCAATCATAGCTGTCATGTAAGATCAACAAAGCCGCCATTCAGTGGAATGGCTCTGCCTCTCCTCACACAGAGCCCGCTATTGAGGAGGAGCAGAGCCGATCTGTGAGTTACACACACATTACCCTGTCATAGTGCCAGCGACCCACATCTGTCACAGTGCCAGTGACCACATCTGTGATCCACGTCTGTCACAGTGCCAGTGATTCACTTCTGACACAGTGCCAGTGATCCACATCTGTCACACAGTACCAGTGATCCACATCTGTCACAGTACCAGTGATCCACATCTGTCACACAGTACCAGTGGTCATCCACATCTGTACCAGTGATCCACATCTGTCACAGTACCAGTGATCCACATCTGTTACACAGTACCAGTGGTCACCCACATCTGTACCAATGATCCACATCTTTCACGGTGTACCACTGCAAAATTCACATCTGTACTATCCACATCTGTCATGATGTACCAGTGTAAAATTCCACATCTGTTCCAGTGATCCACATCTGTCACATTGTACCAGTGTAAGATCCACATCTGTCACAATGTACCAGTGTAAAATTCCACAACTGTGTCAGTGATCCACATCTGTCATGGTGTACCAGTGATCCACATCTGTACCAGTGATCCACATCTGTCACAGTGTACCAGTGATCCACATCTGTACCAGTGATCCAATGTAAAATTCACAACTGTACCAGTGATCCACATCTGTCAAGGTGTACCAGTGTACAATTCACATCTGCACCAGTGATCTACATCTGTCAGTTTACCAGTGCTCAGTATCTGTCACACAGTACTAGTGTAAAATCCACATCAGTGCCAGTGAATAACATTTGTCAGAGTGTACCAGAGTAAAATCCACACCTGCACCAGTGATCAATATCTGTCACAAAGTACCAGTCTCAAATCCACACCAGTACCAGCGATCAATATCTGTCACAGAGTATCAGTGTCAAATCAACGTCCGACCAGTGATAAACATCAGTACCAGTGAATATCAAAATGTCTAAAAAAATTATACACCAGCGAGGAGGTTTCCAAAAATTGAGTATGACGGACAAGAGTAGTAGGGAACTTTCTCTGTCAGACTCAGATAATGAGTATGAGCCAGTTGAAAGCAGTGGGTCAGCAACAGATCCTGAGGAGGACAGTCCAAAGAGGTTCAGGAGGTCTGAGGAGGAGCAGGCATCCACCAGTAGCGCAGAGGCGAGTACAAGCAGCGCAGCACTCCCAGAAGATAGGCAGGCATTAGAGTTACAAATCCTGGTGCCGTGATGATAGCAGGGCAGCATTCCCAGATGATAGGCCAGGCACTAGTAGCAGGGTTTCTCGTCCACAACAAGGTAGGGCCCATATTAGCCTCCCAGATGTACTTTTATATCCCACGTGACTGCCTGCTAATTCAATAGAACCCACAATTACCCCTTTTATAGCACAGGCAGGCCCTTAGATACAAGCAGAAAATAATACTCCATTTTTTTTTTTTTTATTTACTTTTTTACTAATGATCTTCTAAATTACATTGTGGAGCAGTGTAACCTGTATGCCAGCCAATATATAGCCAGCAATCCCAATTCGTCATATGCCCGCCCATTTGTGTGGAAACCCCTCACCATGGAGGAATTAAAAAATTTTCTTGGGCTTACTATGAACATGGGACTGACAAAAAAAAAAAAAAAATTAAGTCCATGCCTACGAGTCTACCCAACCTATATATCATATGCCAGTCTATTCATCTTGTATGTCCAGAACACGCTATGAGATGATAATGAGGGTTTGTGCATTTCAATAGTAATACCCAGTGCCCTCCTTAAATATGGGCCAAATATGGAGTAATATTTTACAAACACATGGGACAGGGCCACGGGATATATCTACAACTTCAAGATTTATAATTTATGAGGGAAAGGACAGCCAGCTAGACCCCCCTGGAAATTGTTGGGCAGCTTAAAGAACTGATGTTTGAGAAGGGTTACCATTTGTATGTAGATAATTTCTATACAAGTCTCCCACTATTCTGCTATCTCTATTTCTCTATTTGAAGAAAACTATGGCCTGTGGAACAGCACGGGCCAACCGCAAGGGCTTCCCACAACGATTGGTCACTACAAAATTAAACCAGGGTGAAACAGCCAGTTTGCGGAATGAAGAGATCCTAGCCCTAAAGTGGAAAGATAAAAGAGATGTCTATATCCTTTCCTCAATAAATGATGACACCTCGGTGGAACTTCAAACAAGACAAGGTCCCATCCAGAAACCAAGATGTATACATGACTATAACCAGTTCATGGGGGGGGGTGGGATATGAATGACCAGATGTTACAGCCGTACTTAGCCACCAGGAGATCACTCCATTGATATGAAAAGGTTGCCATCAACTTGTTTCCGTTAGCCCTGTACAATTCATATGCCATCTCTTTTAAGTCAAGAGGATATTGTTACAGCCCTTCTCTGTCCAAATGGTCATGCACCTGAACAAATTCGCCCTGATTCTTTGACCAGACTCCATGAGAGGCATTTCCCAGATATCCTCCCTCTTACCCAAATAGGCCGCAAACCCCCCCAAAAATGTTGTGTATGTTCCAGTAACCAAATTCGCTGTGACATCCGATACTACTGTCCCAAATGTCATTCTCAGTCAGGACTCTGCATTGGAGAGTGCTCCCGGATCTATCACACATCTCTACACTATTAGTCAAGATATTTTTCCAGTGTCCACTATCTGCTATTTCCCTGTATGACCTGGACTGTTTATCAACAATGCCTCTGCTTGCCGCCTGAACTGACCTTAGACTGTTTATTGACGATGCTTCTGCCTGCCGCTTGAACTATCAACCACGTTTCTGCCTTCCAGATGAATTGACCTTGGCCTGTTAATTGACCATGCTTTTTGCCTTCCTCTTGAATTGATCTTATGCCTGCGACTCTATTAGTTGGATTCAAGACAACACAGGGGTCTCAGGTATGTGAGGGGCTCCAGAATAGATTTTTCGAGTAGAGAAAACAAAGTCTTTGGTTTTCTACGGGTTTTGTAATTCCCAGAAAAGGGTTTGTTAGTCCAGAGGCTTCGAAAGGATTGGGTGGAACAAAGCCTCTACACCTGTGCCCAGGTCTTACCTGACCAATGCCCTAAGCCTGATATTTCTGCCTGCTGCTGACTTACTGCCATCATGCCTCTGCCTGCCGCATGAACTGACCACACCTCTGCCTGCTACCTGTACTATGGACAGTGTTCTTGCCTACTACCAGGACTGATATTTTGGCCATGTGTCTGCCTGGACAACTCATTTGGCTATTGCTGACCATGTCTTCCTGCTTCCTGGACCAATGCTTTGGCTGTGCTGGCAATATCGCTGCCTGCTGCCTGTAGGGACTATGGAAAGTATTCTTTCCTGCTGCCTAGGCGATTCCTTTTTCAGTAACTGACCATGTCCCTGCTTGCTGCCTGGACCAATTCTCTCCTCTGTGGACAACTGTACTACAAAAACCACAGGTAATTTTTTTTTGTTTACCCTTTGCTCAGCAGAATGTATTTTTTGGGTGTAATTCTTGGTATGAACATGCTGTATGTTAGAAGCCTGAAGGTGCTACTTGGATGTTGGGCCTCTGGATGTAGCAAGGCTGTAGAAAAGTCTTACACATGTGGTATCGCCATACTCGGGAAGAGTAGCAGAATGTGTTTTGGGGTGTAATTCTTGGTATGTACATGCTATGTGTTAGAAATATCTTATAAATGGACAACTTTGCACATTTTCTGAAAACTTATAAAAACAAATGACATGTTCAAAAGACTCATTATGCCTCGTAGAATATACATTGGGGTGTTTGCTTTCCAAAATGGGGTCATTTTGTGGCTAATTCCATTGTCTTGGTGCTCCAGGGCCTTAAAAAATGTGATAGGTAGTCAAAAAATGAGATAAATGCGTAATTTATGCCTCCAGAATGTCTGTAGGTACTACTTGGATGTTGGGCCTCTGTATGTGGCCAGGCTGTGGAAAAGTCCCCATACTCAGGAGGATGTGTTTTGGGGTGAAGCTGCAAGTATGCATGTGCTGTGTGAGAGGAATAACCTGTTAATATAACAGTTGTGTGAAAAAAAACAAATTTTATTTACTTTCTTCATTTTACAAAGAATTGTGGGAAAAAAAAAATGTGGGATCAAAAAGGTGTCATTTTGGGGGTATTTGTACTGTCCTGGCTTGTTAGTGTCTCAAGAAATGAGTCAGAACATCAGGTGTGTTAAATTTTCAATGACTGGTACCATAGCTTGTAGACTCAGACCAAATAATACACACCAATTGGAATTATTTTTACCAAAGCAGTATACATTTTGGCACAAATTTATGAAGAAAAATTACTTATTTGCAAAATTTTATAACAGAAAAGAAGAAAAATGCGTTGGTTTTTTTTTTCAAATCTTTTGGTCTTTTTTAATTTACAGCGCATAAAATAAAAAACCCAGTGCTAATTAAATACGACCAAAAAAAATCTTTATTTGTGTGAAAAAAGGACAAAAATTTAATTTGGGTACAGTGTTGCAAGACTGAGTAATTATCATTCAAAGTGTGCGAGCGCTGACAGCTGAAATTTGGTCTGGGCAGGAAGGGGGTAAAAGTGCCCTGTATTGAGGTGGTTAAAATCATGGTAAATGACAAGAAACCATCCTCTGGCACCTAGAGGAAAGGGGGACGAAAGTAAGAAGGAAAGTTGTTTAATCTCTGAATAAGGAGCCTATTGAGCATGCTCTGAAATGCATTACCGTCCCCTTCACCTCCTACATCTGACTCTGCTCTCCAAGCTTCATTTTTGATGCACAGGCACATCCTGGAGGTTAACTATGTAGATTCTTAAAAAAAAGCTAGATGTAACACTATGTTCCACAGTAACAACACTGTGAAATATTATATCAGAGTATCAGAGCACCTTAGGAACAGAAAGTAATTGCTGAACTTGACGGGCATGTGTCTTTTCTCAACTTGATTACGTAAGTAAATCCATTAAAAAGGCAGCCCCCATTTGTCCCAAAAATCACTAAATTTTTTCAATAATATATTCTAACTCGTAAATTAGCAAGTGTATGGCCTATGTAATTAGAATATTGGACACTTGCCCCTTTCTGTAGTGATCTCATTTCATCACCAGGCTCATCCTAAAACAGGGAAATGTAACAAAATTTTAGCTACATTTCTTTAAGCATATTGTTAAATAAATTTAAAAAAAAAGATAAACTAGGTTAAACATTTATGTCCATGGCAGTACCAGTTGTCTAAGATGCCAAAAGGTGTTTGGGTCATGCTTGCATGGCAAACTGCCGTCCTATGTCTATATGCGCTCTTGCTTTCTAATGCTCATATCTTCCCCAGCAAAACAACTGCTAATCATCTGCCTATCACTTTATTCCATGTACTGAGACTCCTATAAATAAAAAATACACTGGCCTATCAACCAAGAGACAAAATTAAATTATGTCCATCATTTCCATAAACATGTTTAATAGAAAAATAAGGCTTGTCAGGCAACAGGCCACATTAGAAAAATCTAGCAAATTTCCTGCTGCTGTCAGCTGTGGACTGTGCAGCTTGGCAGATCGATGGCAAGTACCCTATACTTAAAAAAAACATAAATTACAGTAGTATTTATAGAAAAGAGGACTACTAAAATGATATATCCTGTCTATTGTCTTCTGTGCAGTTATGTAGAATCAGGGAAGGAAGAGCTTACTATGTATAGCAAGCAGAAGAAACAGTAAAAAGTAAAAACTTAATTATACTGAGCTCAAAGTATAGAAACTCTGGCAATGAAAACTTTCCATTCAGTCGAAACAATTAGATATGAACTTCCATTTTCACATCTAATCTGGAAACATTTTAGAGAATACGGTAAATCAAATTATTATTCACTTGAAGCAATCCATTTTTTTGTTTCTATAAATGAAACCCTTAGTTCCCTTTCACATGGGACAGATACTTTGTTCAGCAGGGGAATCTGTCTGCTGATTCCCCATTGAGCAGAGCGGAGAGATTGGATGACAGGTCCATGTGCGCTCAGTTTATGCAGAGCGAACAGACACAGCCCGCTTTGCTCTATGGCAGGCAGATGTAAACCGCCCAGCTGTCCGTTTACACCTGACTGCCCTTTGAATGGATCTGCCCAGACGGAAGGGAACAGCTCTTCTTCAGTTTGTTTTTAGCAGATTGGATCGGATTGGAGGTAGGCAGGAGTAAATGGACACAAGTCCGTTTATATCTGCTGCTCCATAGAGGAGAATGGGGGAATTCGATGTGGTCTCCGCTTGAAAACCTGACAGGCAGACGCGGCTGGACCGATTGTGTGAAAGGGGCCTTACTCAACTCCTCATAAACTGTATAAAAATTTAAGGGAATGTTTGGTCTAGGAAGCAAACACACCCAACTAGCTCCTTCAAGGTTGGAAAGAGATTTCTGTGGGCTTAATGTGCACCTCTTAAAGTATGCCATGGTTTCTCAGTGATTGGTGGTCATGGTAAGTGCACAATCTTTGTTTATTTTAACATATTTTAAATGTGCATAACAAACATATTAATAAATAAGCACCACACATTTGCACAGATTTGTATCACAGCATGGTCTTTCATTGCAGTTCTCTGCATTTGGTTACAAAATACCTCAGGGCAATAATGGAAGTTGATGCTTAAAGGGGAAGTACAGCCAAAGCTATTTTGCCTAAACTTCTCTGGGGATCACAGGAGTGCAGTTCGTTCTGCACTCCTGTGACCCATTTTCAGTCGACAGCAGGCTAAAGTCTGCTGTTGGCTTACGATACTCTGCAGGGATCTGGCAATAATGTCGGAATCCACCCAGATGCTTAACTGGCTCACCGCTTCAGTGAGCAGTCACCGTGTCTTTGCCCCCTGAAAACTGAGTGATCAGTGGTCTTTGATCACTTATTTCTCAGTCTTAGAAGTTGCGGGGAACAGATGCAGCATCGGGTCGACCACTTTTAATCACTTCAGCCCCCACGACATACAAGTATATCGCAGGGGTTTACCTGCAGCTACAGGTATCATCCCAGTATGTTTTTTTTCTGCCAGCGATGGACTTTTTTGTAAAAGTGATCCTAGCGGCTGACCAGCTGCTGGATTGCTTTTATAGGAGGCAGAAGGGCGCAGCCCCCCCACCACCACCACCTTCCCGGGCTCTCCTGTCCCAGCTGTGACAGTACATAAGTGTTCCAGCACTTGGTTCTGAAACATGTCCTGAACCCGAAAGACTCTGTCATTCTGTTTAAATTCTTAGATTCCGAGCAGTTTGGAACTATGTGCAAGCAGGCTTCATGGACATCAGACTTTTGATGACAAAGTTGAATTTTGCATGGAATTTTTGTGGCTGCTATTTAGGTTAGGTTAACACATATGAGGCTCTGTGAGCTATGTTTTGTGCAGGCACAGCAGCCCATTCAAATGAAAAACGTATGGAAAAAGGTCCCTTGCATTATTTTAGAAATTGCAACCTGCACGAAAACCGCAAGTGCAGAGCAAGAGAGATTTCCAGTGTGTGCAGTGTGCCTTTGGATTAACGGCAACTGTATGCATCCAGCATGGTTTTCTGTGTGGGTGGTTGCATGGCTGGAACATGTGACGACCTGTAGCAGGAACCAAACGCACAGATGTGAACCTAGCCTTAGGGATTGCGAGACAGCTGTGACATGAGAGAGAATAATAGGGTCTAAAATGGTCTCTATGTGCACATATTGTTAGATGGGATAGCAAGAGAAATGATGAGGATCTCCCTGACTTCTTACAGCTAGTCGTGATTTATGTTGAAATGGGTCAGAATGTATCAAACATAGATCACATACAGTACAACAGGATGATGTATGGAAAACAAAATGTATAGTTAGTATTTTGCTCACCTGTAGGGCAAGTGACCAGCTGAAGGACAAGAGGTCTACGGGTAACAATACCAGATCCACGGGGAAGAAAATCCCTGAAATAGTAAAATAAAGGGATAGTGATAGAATATATCACAACATGTATTGTAAGGAAGAATACATTATAAAGATAATTTTACAACCAATATTCACATAAGATTCATAGATAAAAAGGTGTGCATCGCTGTTAGAATAGAAAAAAAAAACCCTTCTCTAGTATGATGAACTCCCTTTTACATGTAGTTGTTGCCTTTATGCATTTTGCGGAGTAAACCCACTTCCTCAGGAGAACTCCAAGGGGTAATAATCCGAATAAACTTAAGCCTAGTACACACGGGCCAAATGTTGGCCAACGTTCGGCTCACGTGTACGGTGGCCAGTCCGACAGAAGCTAGCCATTCGACCAACTTCTGTCGAAAGGGCAAGACCGAAAAAGGTCTGCCAATCGGCAACCATTGGCTGACAACCCTGACCGATGCAGTCTGGCGGGCGCCTCCCCCTAGCAGAACACAATAGCTCAGCGGGGGAGATCGCTGTAGTAACATCAAATTGTTAGTATTGCGGCTCCTCCTGAGCTCTGCAGTACTTTTTTTGTTCAGCCCGCTGGGTTGAATGAAAAAAAAAAAAAAAAAACGGCCAGTGTGTACCAGGCTTTAAATATAGACAAAATAACTCAAGTACAAATATACATCCACAAAATCTCTCATTTGCTATAATATATATATATATATATATATATATATATATATATATATATATATATATATATACACATACACACACACACAGTAAGGAACAGAAGTAATTTGTACCTCTCAAATAAGTTCCCACTGGCACCATTGATCTTTTATGGGGTAATTCTTCCCAATGACCTCAAGTGTAAGGAGCATTCTTCCCACTGACCATCACACGAATGTATCATGGGTTGTAGAGTAATTTTTTAGCAGGGGTTCCCTAAGACTGGAGATTATTTCAAGGGTTCCCCTGTGCTGAAAGGGTTGAGAAAGGCTGCCTTATATACTTCATTCATACAGTATATGAATTTAAAGCAACTTGAGCAATTCAAACTATCAAAAAATGTATGTGTTATGCAGGCCATACATGGGTCGAAAATCGGCCGATTTTTCTTTTAAAAAAACGAACAATCGGTCATTCAAGTGGCCGACGTTACCACCAATGGTAAAAAAAAAAATCGGCCGATTTTCATCCCGTCTACAGCCGGCAAAACGTGTCCCTGCAGAGAGCTCTGCTATTTCTGACAGTTCTCTCCAGTTCCTTGACATTTACAGCGGTTGCAACATTGTATCTATTTGTTTCCATTTAGGATACAGATGGTTTTATTCGGAAACAAATAGATACAATGTTGCAACCGCTGTAAATGTCAAGGAACTGTCAGAGAACTGTCAAAGAAATAGCGGAGCTCTCTGCAGAGACACTTTTTGCTGGACTGGAATTCCTCTTATTTTCATCCTACTTCTTCTTTTCATCCTCATCCTCATCCTTCTTCTTCTTCTTCTTCATCCTGCATCCTTCTTCTTCTTCTACTTCTTCTTCTTCATCCTCATCCTCTTCTTCTTCATCCTCTTCTTCTTCTTCTTCATCCTCATCCTCTTCTTCTTCTTCATCCTCATCTTCTTCATCATCATCTCATCCTCTTCTTATTATTCATCCTTATCTCTTCTTCTTCTTCACCCTCTTCTTCTTCATCCTCTTCTCTTCTTCTTCTTCTTCTTTCTTCTCATCCTCATCTTCTTCTTCCTCATCCTCATCTTCTTCTTCATCCTCTTCTTCTTCTCCTCTTCCTCTTCCTCTTTTTTTTCTTTTTGTCTTCCTCTTGCAGGTCACTGCTCATGCTCAGATTTTTTATCGGTAAAAAAAAATCGGCCGATTAGCCCATTATTGCCGCGAAAATCGGCCGATCGGCCGATTTTTTTCCAACTTTACAAAAAAAAAAAAAACGGCCAAAATCCCGAAAAACGGCCAAATAGCCCACTAACGATCCGAAAATCGGCCGATTTTATTTTCGGCCGAAAAATCGGCCGATTTTCGACCCATCTATGGCCTGCATTAGTGCTAACTTCAGTAAAAAGCACAAGTTAGTATTATATGTAAGTACAGGGATATAGGCCTCATTCACATGGCCATAAAATTTTTACTGATGTATAATATGTGTTTTCTAGGAGAAAAGTTCCTTCGTAATGATCAGTAAAACATTTGCGTACAGATGCGTTTAAATGCTGAAAGACACATATGCGCACATAATTTGTTTTTGTGATCATTTATGTTCTCCTTTTTTTAGTCTTAATCTATCTGCTTACAAACAAGTACACATGCATTTATAAGCACAAGCATGTAAAACGGCTTTTTCTTACATGCAGATTTTTGGATTCTGTGTTATGGATCTGAAAGCACCTTATGTTTCCGCACCTGTGTGAATGGCTCCATTGAAAACAATGCAGTGGCATTCAGATCCGTAATCAAAAAAAACACTATGCTGTGTGAATGAAGCCATATGCTGCTGATGTTACATGCAAATTGAAACTTTCCCTGTAATAGTTGATTTTGGCCCACCTTCTCCCATCTCATGAGCTTCTCTATTGGTCATTTAATGTGATGCGCAAACTCACTAGCAAACTGGGACCAGACTGTATTTTATCCATCTACGGCCAGCTTAAAGGCGATAGTAAACCCTAATCTGTAAAACAAGCCATATAGTTTAAAAAATAAATGAAAGGTAAAACATTTGTATATAGATATAAAAAGCATTATAAACACCTTTTTTCCCCCTTTTTTATAAGGAACCCCATACTCTCTGTTCTCAGCTGCATAAGAGCTGGGGGAGGAGAAACAGCAGGACACTAATCTTCCCAGTGATAGTCTGTTCAAAGGGGGCGTGTCAGCAGAAGTCTGATCATTGGAGGAGAGCACACTGAGTTCTTGACATAGCTAGAGAACAGACTACACAGTACTCTCATGCCTAGTGTAGTCAGTTTTTAATAGGAAAACATATTTCATGCAAAGGAAGCAATAAAAAGTGAACAGGATCATTTTTGATACAAGTATATGGTACAGCAGGTACATTTGAGGAATATGAGATGCAGAGTTTACATACTTTTTTGGGGGGTAGCCATATTGAAATTTTGTTTAGGATGAATTCTAACCTGAAGACAGCCCTAATCAAATGTTACACTGTACCATTAACTTAAGCCTCCTGCATTTCCTTTGGTGGATTCCTGTAATGTAACTTTATATCTTGTATTCTTTTGCAAAAGGTAATGTCACTGTGCTGACCGTATCACAAGGATCTAATGTCCATATCACAGGTACTAGATACTCCTTTTCACCGAGCAACTGAAAGGGACTATATCCTTCTTCATACAAGTCACAATCTGCAGCTGACTTGCTTACGTTAAATTCACCTCTCTTGATGGAAATATGGGAGCTCACATTTCTGATTTTTGTTTTTGAAAGTGCATCCTCTATGGCTGGCAGATCAAAAAAAAAAAAAAAAGATGCCTTACAGTTAATTTTTTTAATAAGGCTGCCACAGCGAATAGAAAATGCCTGCCAATATGCTGCAAAGAAGGAGGGGTGTTGTGTCTGTGCCCATCCCAATATTGACAGCTACAATATGTAGAGAAAGGGGAGTGGCCTCACACAGCTTTTGTTTGAATCCTTCCACACAAAACAGACTGTTAGGGGCATGTAGACCCCTTAAACAACATAAGGATCCAAGGGTTATTTTACCTGTACTGAGGATATGTGTATATGATCAGATCAGATGCAAATAATGCTTAACGGAGTTCTTTAGTGCAGAGTAATGATCACACAGGTATGCATTCATCTTATCCATCTGCAACTTAATCAATATCTCTGGGATCATGTGTGTTCTTCTCCTCTACTGGAGCCCTGTCTAATCACTTTCTCCTTAATTATTCATGGTCAGAGGGATGCCGGCCAGGAAACGGAAAGTTGAGTGTCGTGTGATCTGGTTAGATAAATACAAATGGATGGAAAGCCAAAGAACTACAGATCATACAGAAGCATAACAAGGCCCAGGTCTCTTCTCTACAACTTTGTTCTGTAAGAAATAAAGTGGACTGCCCATCAGCATGTTCCTTGTCTGCATATTTCCACACAGCACACCTTATCTACATATTTGCATGCAGTTCCTGGTACTACCTGAGTTCTATTGTGCAGGGAAGAACACGAGATATACTCAAGTACGAACACTAGTCCCATTTAAAAATAATGTAAATTAGTGATGTATTTATATCTGCCTTGGCTTCAGCATTAAGGCCCCATTCACACTATGACCCATAGGGGTTTATTTACTAAAGCTGGAGAGTCCAAAATCAGACTCCCTTCTGCATAGCTTCCAATCAGCTTCCAGGTTTCATTGCCAAAGCTTCATTGAACAAGCTGAGGTTAGAAGCTGATTGGTTTCTATGCAGAAGGGAGTCTGATTTTGGACTCTCCAGCTTTAGTAAATAAACCCCGTAATGTCCGGCATCACCAATACGCCTGTTGTCATGCTATGCACATACCCATTCATTTCAATAGGCTGTCCTATGTGCAGTAAACATTGCAAAGTAGTTGATGCACCTTTTTAAGCGGTTTGTCATTTTTTTTACATTGTATACTTGGGATGCCATTACAACGTTACTAAACCCTGGACCCCGCATTCACTATATCTGGTCTCCCGCAGTACACAGAACATGGAAGTGCAACTATTTTAGTAAATATAAACTGCTAAATACCCTTTTCTCATCAGCAGTTAGAGCAGTCTTGTGAACTCTATAAGTGTCCAGCTGAGCACTGGTTAAAGTTTGTAGGAGGCGGTTTCATTTTGCTCTAGGAGGATGCAGAACCCCTGACCTGTCTGGACAGTGCTGATTGGCCCTGTGCTAATTAATGTACTCCCCCTAGAAAAAAAAAAACCTCTTTAGTAATACACACCAAACTGAGCATGTGCAGAGTGACTCCACACAATATTTCTTGTCAGCAAATAAGAAGGGGGACAATTGAAGAAGGGGAGGATCAGAGAAGTCAGGATCAAACAGCCTTTTTACACAATGCAGAGGATTAACCCCTTAGGTTCCACAGTGAGTATAACAAGCATGCTTTACTGCATATACAGACTCATTTAACTGTTGTGGGTTTAGTAACACCTTAACACTGAATAGCAATGCAAGCATGACAGCATTCACACGTTGCTATAGTTTGAAAGCTACCTTAAAGTGGTTATAAAGTATTAAAGTAGAACTAAAGGAAACATTTTTTTTTTTCATTTTTGGATAGAGTAAGGGAGGGTTATAACACCTGTCAGATTATTTTCCACCATCTGTGTCCCATTGCGGAGATTTACCTTCACTTTCTGTTCCATAGCCAAACAGGAAGTGAGAGAAAATTCCTGCAAATTAAGGGAATTTCTTGGGGACCCCCAGGTCTCCAGAACTAGTGTCCCCATTGGAAGATTTCCCCTTACATTTCTGGGGACCCAAAATTTAGGATTTTCTTTTACTTTTACTTTCAATGATAATTGTAAACAGGACAAATGGAGATGGCAAATCTCCTTAACAGGGGCACAGACACCAATAAGAACCTGACAGGAGTTCTAATCCCTCTCTACTAAATGCAAAATTTAGAAAAAAGTTTTGTCTTTAGTTATACTTTAAGGATTTTTACCTTAATGCATTCTATGCTTTAAGGAATAACTAAAGGCAAAAGTTATTTTTTTGTTTTGGATAGAGTGGAGATGGATTAAAACCCCTGTCAGTTTTTATTGCTGTCTTTTCCTCTGTTAGGGAGATTCACCCTCTCTATTTGCATCTCTGGAAAAGTAATAGAGGGGAAATCTTCCAATGGGGCACTAATTCTGGTGACCTGGGGGTCCTCAAGGAATTCCCTTAATTTGCAGTGATTTCCGGACTTCCTCTCATTTCCTGTTTGGCTATGGGAAAGGAAAAGAAAGGAAATCCCTGCAATGGTACACAGATGGCGAACAAAAATTGACAGGTGTTATAACCCTACCTTACTCTAGCAAAAATGATTAAAAAAAAAGTTTTGCCTATAGTTTAAGGTAAAAAAACCTTCTAAGCTGTGCCTAGGACTCAATCCAGCCCCCCACCCCTCCTTATACTTAACTGAGCCTGATCTCAATCCAGCACTTTGCATGAGATCAGCATCTCCCTGCTCTGTCCCTCTTAACAGGGTAGATTGATAGCAGCGGAAGCCATTGTCAATCAAACTCTGGACAAGGAGGCGGGGCCATGTCCCGCTGTCCGTGTCTATGGAGGCAGACAACGGGGCTCAGAAGCGTGACTGCAACAGTGCCCCCATAGAAAGCGGCTTCCTATGGGGACACTGGATGAAGAGGAGGAGCCAAGAGCGCCAGCATAGGACCCGAGATGTGGGAATCAGGGCTGATCTGTACAAAACCATTGCACAGAGCAGGTAAGTATTACATGATTGTTATTTTAATTAAATAAAAAAAGAACAAAGCTTTACCATTTCCCTTTAACCTATGAACTTACAAAGATGAGCTACGAGCTGTGACTGTGTAATCCCTGGATAGCTGGTAGAGTAATCTTGTTGCACATATATCAATCTGCACCTTTAAGGTAAAGCCGGATTAGAGTCCAGAGAAAGAGAGCAAGGCTGGGGAAGGAGCAGTCATCACAGCTCTACTAAGAGAAGAAAAAGAAAGGCCTACAATATGACTGACAGGAGAAAATATAAAATATCAATGGTGGCCAAAGGCAAAGAAAGCCAAAAGCCAAAGAAAGGGTTAAAATGATATGTGACCCAGTCCAATTTCTGAACTAAAGTGCCAATTAAACATCATGCCTCCCTACATACAACCTGGTGATGATGCATCTTTGCACAAGCTCCACCCCTTGTGTCCTGTGATTATTTTTTTGGCAGAAATTAATGCTAACATTTGCTATTATAGGCCGCCCATTGTCTGCTTTATATATTGAGATATTTTTATTTTTATTTTAGAATTTCAGGGATTCGCCTGATAACAGTTTCCATTGCATTTTGGTATCTGTACATATGTAAAGCTTCTTTTTTCTACCATTCAATTAATTTTTGTTTGTTCCAAACAAAAATAAAAAAAAATGTAGTACAGACACATGTAAGATTAATTGACAAATATGTACAGCTTGACCAAAGTACGTACAGTATTTAGGTAATGCAAAACAGGCGTAATTACAAAGAGCGCC